CGAATAAATATGTTTTTTTTGTAAGTACTTTAGTTATTACTATGGAGGTAGTTGCACAGGCAAAGGGAATATAATTCCCACCATAGAAATAATAATAATAATAATAAAATATATGTATATTTTGGTTTCTTATCTCATAATGTAACTAAATCCAGGATTAGTTTTAAATTATCGCCTTTAAATCATTATACCCTATAAAGGGTTAATATATCCTGTAATATAATTTGATTTAGTCAACTTGTAATGACGTTAAGCGGATTTATATTGCCAAGCAAGTAGCAGAAGTAATGGATACAATATAGTCAATCTATTGGCTGCTCAATCTTCCCTTTGTTTCACAACGATTGTTGTGTAATATAGGACAGTCGGCAAAGTACGAAACGCATTGTCGGTAATATATTTAATAAGCAGAAAATATTCAGATCCATTTAACGTGAGACAAGCAATTATCTCGAAAACGACTCATTTCACATAAAAATGAACCAAATGAAAGTTGTTCTGTGCGAAGGGGACCATATGATGATAATATTTTTGACCTTGACCTAATTTTCAAGGTCATATGAAGGTCACGACCAATTTTTTAAATGGTACCCTGTGTTTTTGATTGCAAAATCTGAATCTATGGATAAAAGTAAAATAAAAAAAAATACCTAAATATAATAATATATTTTTTTATTCAAATAGTTTCAAATATTGTTTATTTATAAAAAAATGATTAAACTATACTATTAATCAACAACAAGTATAAAATTTATAATAAATGTTCAAATATTTCCCCACCCACTTCAATACATTTATTATTTATTCTTAGCTACTATTTCTGCATGCATTTCTTATCCGCTCTTTCATGTTTTCTGGAGTAGTTGGTACTACGCGATAAACATTATCCTTAAGAACGTTTCACAAAAAAAATCATCAAAAATCAAGAGGTGTTAAATCAGGTCATCTGGCAGGCCAGAAAATTGGAGCTCCCTTTCTAATCCATCGCCCAGCATAATCCCGATCTAAAGCTTCACGTGCGAGTATGCATGATTTAATGACTTAGTTTAAACACTTTACATTAATGTAAAATGATGGAATGAATTCAGAATTTGTTGCCAAGCAGTTTTTATGTATAATAACACTGGTTGTGAAAGCCTACGAACATGCTCAGTTATATTATCAAGATCAATAATCTATCAAGACTGTTGGGTAAGATTAAAAACGCTAAGTAACAAGATTATGGATATTGTGCAATGTTAGGTAGATACGAGAGGTTAGCTAATTTTACCAACCTTAAAAGCCTCCAGATAAGAAATATTGAGTAAGGGTAGTTTTGTTTATCAGAGGCAATAATTTACAAATAAAGAATGTTGAGTAAGGTTAGTTCAGCTTAGATGGGTTATTGACCTCCAGGTAAGAAGTATTGTGCTAGGTTAGTTTTGTTTACAAACGTCAATCAACTTAGTAAAGAATGTTGAGAAAGGTTGGTTTTATTTCCAAACATCAATCAACCCAGGAAAGAATGTTGAGTAAAATTAGTTTTGTTCACAAGGGTTATTGACTTCCAGGTAAGAAATATTGGGCACGTTTAGTTTAGTTTATAAATGTCTATCAATTCGGGAACGAATTGACCATATTTAAACACTTTNGGTAGAAACAATTCTATCTAATGACATTTAATTGTCGTTATGCATCGATAGCCTAAGAAACAAGGTTTTCATCCGAAAATATGTTGTAATCTCAACAAGTTTAGTGAAAATAACTTTTTATATTGTGCGTGGGTAAAATAACAATTTCAATTTCATTTAATACGAAAATGCATGTTTAACATTACTTTTAACTTCTAAAACGAAACGTCAAATCGCAACTTTAAAATGATTTTTCGGTAAGTACTACACTTTTGCGCACTTTTTTTTATCATTAACGTCTCTTTTGAGCCGATTAAAAAAAAATCATCGATTTTTAAGACATACTGCTAATTTAATTTTCACATTCTTTTCTATAGAAATCAAGGTTCTGGTCCAAAAAGTGAACAAAGTTTATCATCAGATCCAAACGTAATTACAGATAATGGTTGCCTTGATTATGATGGTATAGCATTTATAAAAACATTTTAAACAAACATTTTTGCCAATAATTTTTTTAGCTTTATATGAAGACGATATGGAGACGGATGTTCACTTGGAGAGCCAAGGATCTGTTATAAAACATCTTTTGAGTCAAGTAAAAATTGGTATGGATTTAACCAAAGTTGTTTTGCCCACATTTATATTGGAAAGGAGGTCTTTATTGGAAATGTATGCAGATTATTTTGCACATCCAGATTTATTTGTTAGGTAAAAGTTTTATAAATCCATCAAAGTCCTCTACTTTGATAATTTTTCTTGTAGAATTGCAGATTTAAAAGAACCAAAAGAGAGGATGGTTCAAGTTGTAAGATGGTATTTATCTTCTTATCACGCGGGTAGGAAGAGTGCTGTTGCTAAAAAACCTTACAATCCTATTTTGGGTGAGGTTTTTTATTGTTTATGGGATTTACCTGAGAGCGAACATTCATCTGATGACTCAACACCAGATGGACCAATTCCATGGTGTAAAAGGAATCAATTATCTTTTGTAGCTGAACAAGTTTCACATCATCCACCAAGTAAGTTATTTACTTATTTAGTTACCAAAATACGTTGTATTTATTTTAGTTTCTGCATTTTACGCTGAACATTACAATAAAAAAATTTCCTTCGACGCACACATTTATACAAAATCGAAATTTCTTGGATTATCAATATGCGTTTATAACATCGGATGTGGAATCGTTTCCGTTTTGGATTATGACGAAGAGTACATCGTAACCTTTCCCAACGGTTATGGAAGATCGATTTTAACAGTTCCATGGATAGAATTAGGCGGAACAGTAAATATTTCCTGCAAAAAAACCGGCTATCACGCCGATATTGAGTTTATAACGAAACCTTTTTATGGTAACAAAAAACACAGAGTCAATGCTGAGGTTTATGGGCCTGAGGAGAAAAAGCCGTTTTTAAATGTTAATGGCGAATGGAATGGTGTTATGGAGGCGAAATGGAGCGATGGGGAATGCGAAGAATTTATTAATGTTAATAAATTAAGCATTGTAAAAAAAAAAGTTCGACCAATTAATCAACAATTGGAAAATGAATCGCGAAGATTGTGGAAGGAGGTTACTAAAGGTTTAAGGGTTAATGACATCGATCATGCCACTAATGCCAAAGGTGCACTTGAACAAAAACAACGAGATGAAGCCAAATATAGAAAAGAAAATAATATTACGTGGGAAACAAAGGTAAGTTTAATTAAAAATTTAAATATATATTTTTAATTTTTTTTTGGTTTAGTTATTTAATAAATCTCAGGAAGATGTATGGACATATATAAATCCCTTAAAACAGCGATTGTGTGAATTAAGTACATGAATAAATTCACACTAAGGGGTGGTTTGTTGGAATCTTGGTGACTAAAAAAAACAAAAACGAAAAAATAAATAATATTGGTGCTTTTTCTATAAAGTTACCACTATTTCTGTCTTTACGAGATGATTCTATTTTCAGAATTATTATAGTGAACTGTGATATCGATCGAAAAAAAAAAAAAAATAATGAAAGTGTATGTAAGAAATTATTATTAACAATTGTGATTATAAAAATCCACATTTGATTCGCTGCAGGACGGCCCCTTTCCACCATAAACAAATCTAAAAAGTAAACTTTAACGGTGCGCGGATAAGTCAATTTAGTTTTTTTACGTTTACTTTTTGTTCTGTCTGTAATATTTATTCTATTTCTTACTGTAACTTGTTAATATTATATACGCAGTCAACAAGGTACTCTTTATTATATTATCTTCTTGGAAAAAAGCGTAACTTTTTAAAAAAAGAATTAATTAAAGAATGAATAAATGAATTAATTAATAGAAACCCGGTCCAATAGATGTAGAAGTGTCGGTATTGTTGTTCTCTTTCTTATTTAAAAAAAAATACATTTTAAATGTGAATATATTCTATATTTTTTTAATTAATTAAATAATTAGAAGTGAAACTCTGTAGAAACGCACTAATTATATTCGTTTCTTTCGAGTTTAATTGAGAAGTACAATCAAGGAGTTTGTTAATAATACTTCCGTTATTATTGATATGTAAATAATTGAATAAAATTGATATTCTACATATCACTTACATGTTTTATTTAACCCTTTTTAGGGCAGAGGTGATATTTTTACCACCATAATTTTTTTAAGTTTTTTATAAGAAAATAATCAAATTTAATTTTCTTTTGTAAGTTGGCAACTTATTTAGTGATCTGTCAGTAATATGACGTGAAGAAATGCATAACTGTCATAACATTGTTTTTTTGCTGTCACCTGTTGAATGTTCAAAAATAGTGTTTTTTCGTACCAAATTTTGTATAACGGTCTATTTTGTAGATCTTCGAGATTTTGAGGTAAGTTTTATTATTTACATGTTATATTGGATTTGTCCTAAGTATTTTGACACATATTTTTATCTTTGGGTATCCTGGCATATTCCCTCTGCCTGCGAGTGGCTGCTATATTTTTTGCTTTGCTTTGGCAGATGAGTGCAAAAAGTGGCTTAGACAAAGGTTTATCAGAATTCGAAATAGAGCATGCGCTTGAAGAGCTTTTTGGGTTGCCTGATGACCCAGAAGTGTCTGACGATAACCTGGAAGCGGAAGAGGAAGAAGCTGCGTACAGCACCGCTCGGCTTCAAAAAATACTGGAAAATCCCGATGATCCGTCAATGTCTCCGCACCTCCTGCATAATCAGACCAGCCTACAATCATCAGAAATTATGGATACTGAAGCCATTCCACCAGCTGATTTACAAAGTGAAGACCTGNTTAAACACTTTTTAATTTTAAATATACTAATTTATTTTAATTTGGCACTCCCTCCGTTCAAGTAATTTTGTTTACACGGATTATTGACCTCCAGGATAGAAATATTGAATGAAGAAACTACATAGGGTTTCCAAGGAGGAAATCATCTACGAAGCAGCTATTTGCAGAATACTTTCCGTGAAAGCAGAAGAAATCTGATAAGATTGTGCTGAAATCAGCAAAACCAACAAAATCATATTTGAAAACAAACAAAAATAGACATCATCATTAGCCAGGAGATAAAGCGAATGCCACCGTGGTCATTGACAGGAAAGAATACGACCATAAAGCTGTGTGGCAACCTTTATGATTTGGCAGCATAGAAAAGAGAGTGTCCAGCAGATTCTATACGTCAGAGGGATGTTCGATTGAATAAGATCTAGAAATCGTCACAAAAAGGGATACGCCATAGATTTCGTTAAGACCAGAGCTGGAAATTACTACCAGAGGTTGGCAAGCGAGGCTATAGATAGAAATCCATCAACATAGGAACAACATGAATGGAGAAGAAAAACTTGACCAAGTTTTCTTCTCCTCTCAGAATTGACAAAAACAACTTATAATTAGATGAGAGAGTTTGATCCAATCAATAAAAAGCAATACTTTTCTGGTCTTTTTCAATTTATTGTCTAACCGGTTTCGGATTTCGCCATCATCAGAAACATTAGTAATATAAATTATAAATATAAACTGTTTTACAACACTGTCAGTGTTGTTTTATATTCTAATGTAAAAATTTTAACTTTTAACTTGCATTTTAATGTGTTTATATTTATAATTCTAACTTGTATACTTTTATGAAACCATTTATATGAACAACAAAATAGAAAGTGTGTTGCTAAAATTTAATTTATATTACTAATGTCTCTGATGATGGCGAAAGCCGAAACCGGTTAGACAATAAATTGAAAAAGACCAGAAAAAGTATTGCTTTTTATTGAATTTATATTATAAAAACAACTTAGTTTTAGCCCTAGACCCGAAAGTTTCTAGGTCTACTGATAGTGCTAGTTTTAGGTCTAATTTAAATTGAATAGCTTTATACAGGGTTCCCCATAATAGACTACCCATTTTATTTTATTAATAAATTCCCTATGAGATAACTAAATAAGTTTTTCTCTGTGGGAATATCTTCTGTAGTCTTTGGGATTTAAGTTAATTATTAATCAAGTAGTCGCCTGTCACAAATAAGTTTTAAATTATTAATTATTATTATCGAGATAATATTCGATATTATTTTTAGTTTCGTCATTTTTTTTCAACATCTGTTTGAACTTTCATGGATTACTCAGTCCAACAACGTGTGTTTTGTGTAGAAACTTACATTAGAAGCAATTCGATAGAAGAAGTTAGGCGTGCATTCCGGCGTCAGTTTAATAACAACAATAGGGGTCACACGCCAAATCGTAAAACTGTTAAGTTATGGGTTCGTCATTGGCGTGAAAATGGTTCTGTACAAGATTTGAAGAAGCCTGGACGTCGAAGAACAATTCGTACACCAGAAAATATTGAACGAGTTAGAATTGCGTTTACAAGAAGTCCTAAAAGGTCTGCTAATCGACAAAGCCTTATCCTAGGAATATCAAAGGGAAGCTTAGATCGAATTATTCGAAAGGATTTAAAATTTCATCCCTATAAGTACCAAATGGCACAGCACCTTAGCAATCAAGATAAAGAAGCAAGGTTAGCATTTTGTCAAGAATTTTTGGATTTACATCAAGGAGCAATTCACAATCTCCTAATGAGCGACGAAGCAAATTTTTATTTGAACGGCATGGTTAATAAACAGAATTTTAGATACTGGTCAAATGAAAATCCTCGTGAAATCTTTACACAGAACCTCCATAATCCAAAAGTTATTGTGTGGTGTGGAGTAGGATCTTTTGGTATTATTGGTCCATATTTTTTTGAGGATGAAAATAACCGCGCTGTAACAGTAACATCCGAGCGCTACGTAAACATGCTAGAGACATTCCTCATTCCAGAATTAAATAGACGAGGATTACTAAACAATCCCTTACTATTCCAACAAGATGGGGCAACAGCTCATACCGCCAGAAACTCAATGAGGGTTCTGCGAGAAATGTTTAATGGTCGACTCATTTCTCGATTCGGAGATTTGCCTTGGCCTTCGAGGTCCCCCGACTTAACGGCACCCGATTTTTTCCTGTGGGGATATTTAAAAGCCAAAGTGTTTGCGAGTCGTCCAGGTACAATCGAGGAACTCAAAGTCAAAATTCGTGAAGAAGTTGAAGGAATAGACGAAGGTTTGCTACGCCGTGTAATGAACCACTTTTTATCTAATATTGAAAAATGTGTTGAAGTTGGTGGAGGTCAATTAGAAGACGTGATTTTTAAAAGTTAGAATTAAATTAGCCAAATATTTATAAGTTATCATAAATCCCAAAAAGTTTGCTGTAATTTAGTATAATAAAAAGTTTATTTTGTTAACTAAAAAAATTTTAATTCAAATTTCAAAATGGGTAGCCTATTATGGGGAATCCTGTATAACCTGATATTCATTTAACTTGTTTCAAGAAGTAATAATAAACAAATATTTTTTTAAAACAAGTTCAAGGATTGAAAAATACTCGTTTCAATCGAAGTTATATTAACTTGATTGAATAGTAAAATCGATCAATGTCATATTAAACCGCAATCAACTTAATAGACACTTATAAAACCATGCCATGTGTTCATAAAGATAATTTCATAAAGATTTCTTTACGATTTGCTTCTTATTAATTCTTAACAATTTTAAAAAATAACCAACTCAACGAAAACAATAACCCGTAAGAATTCCCGTTTTGAAGTTAATTGTAATACCAGTTCAAAGTTGTTAATATGACTAATTACAAACTAGAATGCAGACAATGAGTCTCCAGTTATTGTTAGTTCTGTTACTTCATATTCTTAAACATTGTTACGATCTATCTAAAAATATCATAGAAGCTTAATACTTTTTTTCTTCTAATCTCTTAATCATCTGAATCCGCATCTTTCCATCTACACAAACTCCTCCTACTCCTCTTTATAATGCTGGCTCCTCTACCTCTGTTGTAATGTTTGATACGGTTCGTCTAACGACGAGATTTCGAATGCAACCGGTTAAAACGTTTTTCAGTCTTGTTTTGACCATCTAATGATTTAAACGTAAATCCAAACAGAAATTGTTGTAACGAAAACGAAAAAAAAAAACTTTGTGATTTAAGGAAGATGTTTTTATATAAAAAGTGAAAATTTAGTTTTAAAATGATTTATTTAAATAAATTCGAAAGGTAAGAAAGAAATAACAAATGTTTTTTTTTAAATTTATAATATTTTAAAATGATTCCTTGACCTTACAGATTTTTTTTAATTAATTAAATTGATCGTTGACCCATTTATTAAAATCAATTCTTTGCTCCCTTAAAATTCGTTATCTTTTAAATGTCTTTTACACGTGCTTATAACATTTTATCAACATATTTTTTGCCCAGATGCGAAAATGAGTTAAACTGACGATTGATTCTAATTGAATCTGTTTTAATTTTATTTTTAAACGTGTTTCTAAACTTTTCTCTCTTATTACGTTATTTTTTTTGTACACATATTTGCTCGAAGAGATAATCAAACAACTATAAAAAAAATAAATTTGTTTTATGCATTACTTAGATAATATTACTACTTGTTTCAACACCTTAATACTAATTCAAACATGATGTAAAAATTAATTTTTTTTTTTAGATTTTTAAATTGTTTTTTATGGATCCTGCTTACTTTTCTATTAAAAAGCGTTAACACAAGTAAGTATAAAAAAGATATAAACTATTAAAGGAGTTTTAAAAGAAGTGTATCAAATGAAAGTACAAAATTGACTATAAATACTCTGTGAAGATAAAATTTAAATAAAATTTTATTGTTATACATGAAAATTTGGCTTTACAATAAATATCTTCTCATTCGTTAATCATAAATAAATCTGGTAGAATAATATCTACTGGGAGGAGTCAACAACTTACTTACTATGAGATATACGCTAAGCATTTCGTTAGCATTTAAAGCAGCTAGAGTTAGTTGTCGTAATTACTAAGTTACTGCAATCAGTAATTCTTCTTCCATTAGCTGTATCTAGCCTTCTGGCAAGCTGTGTCGTATCTTGTCTTTTATTATCAAAATTCAGCCTTCTATTAAGAGCGTCTAATGTTTTATAGGCAGAATGTAGACTTCTATTATTAACACCTAATCTATTCCTTTACTGGTGGTATCCAGTCTTCTAAAATGTATCTAATCTCATATAAGCAAGGCTAATCTTCTATTGATTACATTTTGTTGACTACTAGCAGTGCTACCTTAAGACAGTTGTGTCTTAAGCTAGCTAATAGCATAATCAAATCTTTTCACAACATTATCTACTTTTCTGTCACCAGTATGTAGTCTTTTACAAGCTGGATCTTGTCTTTTATTAACTGTATGGTATTTACCAGCAATATCTAGTCCTTCAAGCAGTACTTAACCCGTTAATAGCAATATTTAATGTTATATAAGCAGTGTCTAGTCGATTGTAAGCAGTAACAAGTCTTTTTCCAGCATTCTAGTGATTGTATGTCCTCTGCCAGTAGTTTTTTACTTGGGTCTAGTGTTGTACAAGCAGCAGGAAGTCTTTTGTAATCAGGATCTAGTCAACTATTGATAGTATGTCTTCTGACAGTAGTATCTACTCTTTTGCTCGCAATGCCTAGTTTTCTGCAAGCAGTAGGAAATCTTCTACAAGCAGCAATAAGTTGTTTATAGGTAGGATTTAGTGTTCTATTGATACTATATCTTNTCAGGATCTAGTCAACTATTGATAGTATGTCTTCTGACAGTAGTATCTACTCTTTTGCTCGCAATGCCTAGTTTTCTGCAAGCAGTAGGAAATCTTCTACAAGCAGCAATAAGTTGTTTATAGGTAGGATTTAGTGTTCTATTGATACTATATCTTCTGCAGAGGCGGCGCTACCGGGGGGTGCAAGGGGTGCACTGCACCCAGACGCCTTTTTAATGTTTACTCCAACAATATCTTATCTTTCTTTTGCAGTATTTAGCAGTAGCTAGTCTTCAGAAAGCAGTATTTAGTCTCCACAAAGCAATTTTAGTCTTTGCAAAGCAGTATTTAGTGTCCAGACGCTGTATTTAGACCTGTCGGAAGTATCTAGTCTTCAGAAAGCAGTATTTAGTCTTCTAGGAGCAGTATCTAGTCTTCTACCAAAGTTATGTATGTTTTCTCCAAAATATTTTATCTTTCTTTTGCAGTATTTAGACCTGTTAGCAGTATCTAGTCTTCAGAAAACAGTATTTAGTCTCCACAAAGCAATTTTAGTCTTTAGAAGGCAGTGTTGAGTGTTCCAGACGCTGTATTTAGACCTGTCGGAAGTATCTAGTCTTCAGAAAGCAGTATCTAGTCTTCTAGAAGCAGTACCTAGTCTTTTGCCAAAGTTATGTATGTTTTCTCCAAAATATTTTATCTTTCTTTTGCAGTATTTAGACCTATTAGCAGTAGCTAGTCTTCAGAAAACAGTATTTAGTCTCCACAAAGCAATTTGAGTCTTTAGAAAGCAGTATTTAGTGTTCCAGACGCTGTATTTAGACCTGTTGGAAGTATCTAGTCTTCAGAAAGCAGTATTTAGTCTTCTAGAAGCAGTACATAGTCTTCTGCCAAAGTTATGTATGTTTTCTCCAAAATATTTTATCTTTCTTTTGCAGTATTTAGACCTATTAGCAGTAGCTAGTCTTCAGTAAGCAGTATTTAGTCTCCACAAGGAAATTTTAGTCTTTAGAAAGCAGTATTTAGTGTTCCAGATGCTGTATTTAGACCTGTCGGCAGTATCTAGTCTTCAGAAAGCAGTATTTAATCTTCCAGAGCAGTATCTAGTCTTCAGAAAGCAGTATTTAATCTTCTAGAGCAGTATCTAGTTTTCAGAAAGCAGTATTTAGTTTTTTAGAAGCAGTATCTAGTCTTCTGCCAACGTTATGTATGTTTTGTTCTTGCTACTGACAGCTACTTCTTTCTGGGTGTTTATCATCATCTTTTTGGGAACCTCTTATTATCTATACGGGTCTTGTACCACCCGATACCTCATTTCTGCAGCTTTTACTTTGCTTTTGTGCTTATCCTGCATTTATTCTGCTAGTAGTATGTATATAGTCTGTCGCTTGTAAAGTCTAGTTTTCTGCAAGCAGAAGAAACTCTTCTACAGAAAATAAGAAGCCTTTTGAGGACAGGATCTCGTGTTCTATTAATAGTATATCTTCTACCAATAGTATTCAGCCTTCTGCTTGCAGTGTCTAGTTTTCTGGAAGCAGTAGGACGTGTTCTGCAAGCAGTAAAAAGTCATTTCTAATCAGAATCTAGTCTTTTGCTAGTAATATCTAGTCTTCTCACTTCTATGAGCAGTATTTAGCCATCCATTTGCAGTATCTAGTTTCTCATTGAGAATGTCTTTCCCTAAAAGAAATTAGTCAACGTCTTTTGTTGTGGTTATTAATCTTCTATCAGCACTATCTTGTCTCATAAACATATTTCAAATAGTAACAACGTTTTGAATCTCAATAATCCAAATACTTCCTTCTAAAACTCCCAAGATTTTTACAATAAACTGTAAAGTTCAGTAAGCGTATTCATTAAAATTCAATTTTTGTTTGCTACACTACTATTAAAACATCCTGTATATCTTAATAAATGTAATATCTAAAAATAAACACGACAATTCAAAATTTACGATCGGTTTCTATTAAAATGTCTCATTTCTTGCCGTCGTTTTACAATTGCATTGATTTGTATAACTTATGTGTCACTGACTGCTGGGTCAAAACATTTAAGTGCGTACACACACTCGCACACATAATTTTACCCAGTTTTTATCCTTCTACATCTTAACTTAATTGACCTAACAGAAATGTGTGTTACTGTAGTATCTTCATTAATGCAACACATTCTGAGGTCGTCACGAATTTATTAAGACATTAATGATTTTAACGTTGCTCAAAAATGTGTTTACTTAACCATTTAATTGAATAATAATTTAATAAGTATTTGTGTTACCTATATTTAGATGGAAATGATAAACCGCTTCCCTGCGATGGATTTAAAGTTGGTGATGACGATTTACAAAATTTCGATTTTATTCGACAATTCGAATCGAATGTTAGTTTTCCTGGAATAAAAATTGTCAATGGATCTCATAAGTTACAAACTGCTTATCGATTGGATAAATATGTGAATATAAATTTTCCAACAAGGTAAAATTAAAAAAAAAAAATTCGCCCAACGTGGGGCTCGAACCCACGACCCTGAGATTAAGAGTCTCATGCTCTACCGACTGAGCTAGCCGGGCAGATATTTAAATTGACCAAGACAACATGAACGTTTTAAATATTAATTTTTTAAATATATTTTTAGCCGAATTTTCCCACAGGGTCTTCCCGATCAATTTTCATTTATTAGTACTTTCCGGTTGCGGAAATTAACGAAAAGTTCATGGAATTTACTTCGAATAACCGATTTAGAAAATAAACCAAATCTACAGATTACGATGAATCCTAAAAAGGAAACGATCGATTTTTCAATTCCCAATAATATGGGGGAACTTCAAACGATAATTTTTGACGATGTTAAGGTAATAAATTATTTAAAAGTATGGGTGAGATTTTCGCCTGAGGGCGATTTAAAAGCAACGGGTCCTGTGGCGCAACGGATAACGCGTCTGACTACGGATCAGAAGATTCCAGGTTCGAATCCTGGCAGGATCGAAATTTTTGTTTTAATTTTTATGTTATAAATAAATACAGTATGAACCAAAATATACAATACTGGAAAAATATTTAGTTATTAAGGATGATACTTTAAATGTTCTCCATTGCGCTTCTAAAAATGATTCGTTCTTGAAAGGTTTTTTGGAGCATAGCCACAGTCTGGCCTCTCGAAAACAAGAAAGCGCATTCTTTGGCGATTGATAAAGTCGTCCAAGTGAATTTGACTTTCGTCGGAAAACTCGTGAACAATTCAATCCTTACACGCTTAACTTGCTCCGTCAATCGTTCACCTGTATTCGGTACGATGAGTGTAAGCAATAAATAGTATATTACAGTACAAGTGAGGAAACTATGATTTTTCATTAACGCATATGTTCGGAAAAACATACAAGTTAGTGAAAAATATTAGTTTCCCGCGTGTGCTGTATAACGTTTTGTTCAATCCTACTATTTAGAGAAAACCCGTCTTAAAATTCGATAATTCCTGAGTAATTTCATGTCGACATGTTGGCGATGACAACAGTTTTTGACATTGTCATGCTCTTAATTGATATATTTATGTAAACAACCATTTGTGTCAAATTGTTAATTGCTATCATTATGCATAAAATTAATAAATTCATTAAAATAAATAATTTATACAACTGAAATACTTAATTAACTTTCCATGTATGTTGTCCACAGTTTTTTAATTAACATCCGTTACGTTTAAACAAAGAGTTGTTACCTTCTGATAAATTTATCCGATAAATAAATCCAGTTCTTAGCCAATGAGAGCGCTTAAAACCGCCGTAACCATGGCAACTATCCTCTAGATAGTTTATCAGGAGGATGGTAAAAGTGGGCCTATAGGTTTTATATTTAGCTAACAGTGGTTGAAAAAAATTAAAAATGAAACAAATTTTCATTCACTCGTTTCTATGAAAGTCAGCAGAGTAAATATGCAAATAACAACTTTCAACACTCGTAAGTTAGAAACTCACAATTTTGAAGGTAGGATTGAACAAAAGTCTTTTTCCAGCATCATCCAGCATTCTATTGCTGCCAGTATTATTTAGTCCTTTGCTTGCATCTAGTTTTCTACATTAGCAGTATCTAGCCTTCTGGCAAGCAGTATCTTATCTTCTGCCACGAGGTCTAACCTTTCACATATTTTTTATTATTTTTTTATCATATTTTATTTATAATCTTCTGTTCTGCCGACAGGATCTAGTCTTGTGTTGATAGTATCTTGTCTTGTAATATCAAAATCTAGTGTTCTAATAACAGCGTCTAATGTTCTATAGGCAGAATTTAGACTTCTATTATTATTATCTAATCTATTCCTTTACTAGTGGTATCCAGTCTTCTAAAATGTATCTAATCTCCTATAAGCAGGGCTAATCTTCTATTAATTACATTTCGTCGACTGTCTGCAGTGCTACCTTAAGACAGTTGTGTCTTAAGCTAACTTATGGCATAATCTACTCTTTTCACAACATTATCTACTTTTCTGGCACCAGATGGTAGTTTTCTGTCGGCAATATGTAGTCTTTCATTAACTGTATGCCATTTACCAGCAATATCTGATTCTTCAAGCAGTACTTAACCCTTTAATAGCAACATCTAATGTTTTATAAGCAGTGTTTAGTCGATTGTAAGCAGTAACAAGTCTTTTTCCAATATTCTAGTGATGGTATGTCCTCTGCCAGTGGTATTTAGTCTTTTACTTGGGTCTAGTGTTGTACAAGCAGCAGGAAGCCTCTTGTAATCAGGATCTAGTCAACTATTGATAGCATTCTGACTGACTGTTAGTCTTCTGACAGTAGTATCTAGTCGTTTGCTCGCAGTGTCTAGTTTATTGCAAGCAGTAAGAAATCTTCTACAAGCAGTAAGAAGTCTTTTGAGAACAAGATCTCATGTTCTATTAATAGTATATCTTCCACCAATAGTATTTAGACTTCTGCTTGCAGTATCTAGTTTTCTGCAAGCAGTAAGAAGTCATTTATAATCAGGATGTAGTCTTCTATTATAAGTACGAAGGCTTTCACCGCCGGTGTTAATTGAACTAAAATTAGAACTAACACTAGAAACTTTCAGGTTTTGCCGTGCGTCTTTTAAGAAAAGGTTTGACGTTTCGGATGCCAGGTTGCAACCTTCTTCAGAAAATCGTTCGATGTGACGAATATAAAAGTCGGAAAACTGATTAATAATTAATTAACGCTAATTACAAGCTAATTATCAACTAATTGCGTCGCGTCCCACCATCTTCCATGTTTTCCTAAGCACCCAGCCATCTTCTCTGTTGACGTTATTTCTATATCGATGGATGTCTATGGCTTCTCTTGTCAGTCTTTGGTAATATCTGTTGTCCCTAGCCAGTACCTTTGTTTGTTCGAAGTCTATTCGATGTCCCTCTGCATGGCAATGTTACGCAACCGCCGACTGCTGGATCTTCTTCAACCTAACATCCCTTTCATACTCTTAGATGCGGCACTCGACGTTGCATCCAGTTTGGCTAACGTAAACCTTCCCACAACTACACGATAGTCGGTAGACTCCTGCTCCTTTTAATGGAGTTTGTTTCTCCTTGGCTATCGAGAGTGTCCCGTATCGCACCACGATGTCGTTTTTCTTGAGATGCCTAGCAATTCATTCCGTCACACCTGAAACATAGGGAAGACAGATAAATCCAAGTGGTTTTGTACTTACCGCGTCATCTTGATGTCACTCGAAGTGTATCCGTTCTTCTGCAGCACGCCTCGTAGAAAGTGTTGCTCCTTCTTCAAGTTATCTCCTTCACATATTCTCGCAACTCGTTGAAATAAAGTACGAATCACGGACCTCTTCTGTTGGGGATGATGTATGATGTGATGATGCCTGCAGATACCTGTTGGTATGGGTCTTCTTCCGATATACACCAAGTTCCATATCTCCATTACTCGTCCTGGTGACCAACACATCTAGGAAAGGTAGTTTTTTGGCAGTTTCTGTTTCCATGGTAAACTTAATCATCGGATGTTGAGCGCTCAAATGATCCAAGAACTCTTGGAGCCGTTTTTTGTCATGTTGCCATATAACAAACGTGTCATCCACATATCGGAGCCATAGTTTTGGTTTCCACTGGGTCTTCTTCAAAGCGTCTTCTTCGAATAATTCCATGTAGTAATTAGCTATAACTGGCGATAATGAAGATCTTATGGCTGCCCCTTCGAACTGTTTTCTGGTAACCCCTCGGGAATGAGCTTCCGGCGGAGGCCATCCACAGTATCCTTAACTGGTACCCTGGTAAAAAGAGACTCAACATCGAAACTTACCAAAATATCCTCAGCATCTAGCTTTATACCTTTTACTGATTACACAAAATGTGTAGAATCCCTGACATATGATTCCGTCTTCCCTGTAAAAGGAGACAGCATCTTTGCGAGATATTTGGCCAATATGGTATGTTGGGTAGTTGATGGCATTGACGTGAAAAATCTTCAGTAGTCCATAAATTCTGCACAAACAATCCTTTCTGCTGTAGTCTTCTATATATAAATATATATAATCTATACATAAATAGTCTTCTATTGCTAGTATGTCTTCTGCCAGTATTGCTGATATTTAATTTTAGGGATGTTCGTCGTAGTGATTGCAACACCTGATTGAAGACACGTCCATGATTTTCATTTATAGACACAGTTACTGGCCCACCAGACCTTCCCTTCCGTTGATACAATACACTACCCTACAACGAAAATTTTCAACGGTAGATAGCATAACTGTGTTGTTTGGTGCCGCTATATTAAAGTGCCGCCTTGAAGTGTTCACGATATTGTTCCGCCACTAACTTTAAACTTGGTCCGCCTTGATAACCATTTCCGTACGAGTGAAAATAATACTCTAACAATTTTTCCTCCGTTGCGAGAATCATTGTCACTTCCAAACTAACAATACATCATGGTGATGCAACAACACAGAGACACAAAGGCTTGAGCACGAGTGATGCGCGAAAACCAGTACTGTATATTTTGGCACATACTGTATAAAAAGAAAAATTTCTTATTTAATTTATCTCTTAGATCTTTGATAGAAATTGGCACAAAATCCATTTTGGTGTATTTCCCGATCGCGTCAGTTTATTTGTTGATTGTAAAAGAATTGGTCTTAAAAATTTACAACCAAGAGGTTATATTGATGCTAATGGAATAATATCTATAGCCAAAATGGTAAATTCAAATCAATCAAGACCTGTAAGTACTACTCCTATTTCTCACTTTTAACAGTTTTGATTGATATGTTTTTAATTTGTATTTAGATTGATTTGCAATGGATGATGATTCAATGCGATCCTACCAAACCAGAAAGGGAGCGTTGCAAGGAAATATCATCAACTCCTTCTTTAGTACAAAAAAGATTTTTTTATAAATTTTGTTTGTTTTGTTATGTTTTTGTGTTTTAGATTCCCTCAAATGTTACTAAACAAGAATGCCAAGTTGTTTGTCCAAGAGGACCACCAGGATATAACGGAACAGATGTAACTTCAACAAAAATGTTTTTTTTTTCTGAAATTTACACTAAAAATTGTATCGAACCAACGACGAATTCTTGTAGCTTTTAATGTGCTAAATACAAAATAATGAATAAAGTAATAACGCCTTAATGTAATATGAATGACTTGACATTCATCAATAGCAACAGAATTGAAGACATTTAGAACTCCATATCATGAGAAAATCGTGATAAAATTTTTTTACTATATTCAGTCACCATCATCACAAGAAAAGGCATAAGAATAATAGCAATAAACAGCTAAAAAGTTATTTGTTGTTGGTCTGTTAATTTCAAATTTGATCATAATTCGAATTAAAATGTCATTTTAAAGAAAACTATATGTTTTTAGTGAAAATTTCAAAAATACTTACGATTTTTTTACCTTGTTACATACATTACTATTTTAGGGTCTCCCTGGTTTATCAGGTTTACCAGGACCAATCGGACCTAGAGGAGAACCGGGATATCCAGGACCTCCAGGTATTTCTGGTGATAAAGGCGAGCAAGGATTTCCTGGAGAAAAAGGAGAAAAGGTTACAAATAATTTTGCGTTAAACAAATTTTTAACAGAAATATTTTAGGGCGAACCAGGGCTTCCCGGCACTGGAATAGGAATTCCAGGTGAACCAGTAAGAAAATAAAACTTAATTCAAATTAATTTACTGTTAATTACTTGATTTTTTAGGGTGAACCTGGAATTCCAGGATCGAAAGGATTACCAGGTTTAGATGGTAGACCGGGAGATCAAGGTCCTCCAGGTGAACCAGGACCACCTGCAGAAATACCAACAAATCTTATTATTGACCAATTACAACCGCATCCCGGTATTAGTGGAGCAAGGGGATTTCCAGGAATTCCGGGAATGGTAAAAATAATAACATCTGTAACAAAAAAATTTTAATTTTTCATTTTTAGCCCGGTGAAAGAGGTGCTGCTGGAGAAAGAGGTCAACAAGGACCAGCGGGACCCCCAGGAATGCCAGGAAAAGAAGGACCACCGGGTTTACCAGGTCCACAAGGTCAAAATGGACAACCCGGGCTACCAGGACTTCCAGGGCCAGAAGTAAGTTTAGTATCGTTTTTCTTTATGTTAACTTTATATTATTAAGATATTTTATTTGAAAAATATCTTTATTTAATCATCTTTCCTATAAATTCAGTTAAACAAATCTAATCGCCACGAAAACTTAAATCAAAAAACGATACAACACATTTTGAGCTTGAAATACGAAAAATATGTAGCTTAAAATATGATCGATACGAAACGACGCTAAATAACTCAAAATACATACAAACACGTTGTCATACAGTTTATAATATACAAGTTTTACTACATAAAAATAATAATACCTAAATAAAAAATATTACGCTAATCATAAATTATAAAATGATATTAAATGTATAAAAAACATTTTATAATAATTTAATTTAAGAAAGTCTCATTACTACCAATTAAATTCCTAATAAAGTTGGGATTCATATTTGGGTGAACGCTGACTTTATTAAATTTTGATGAAGAGTACTTTGTTTTAATCGATTGTTGGGAAGTGTCAATATTTTTTTGCAATATGTCGGCAATTTTAAGGATGGTTTCTTCTATATCTTCGTATTTATAACACGCAAAATGAATTAAAACCGGCGTCCATGCTTGACGAGCACTTTTCAATCGATTCTCAATACTTTTAGAAATACAACAAACGGCGGCGGCGATTAATGATGGTCGAATATGGCAAGTTTCATAACTGAGTAACGCTAATTCCAATAAATATTTTCCCATTGAATGCTGTTCTTCGGTTGCTTCGCAAACTTGATTAAATCGTCGAAGAAATTGAATCGAATATGTTCGCGTCAAATTAAAATTAAGCGTTTTTAAAATATCTTGTTCCATTTTTATAATTTCGCTTTTTGAAAAAGCGTTATCGCAGATACAACCTAAGTCGGAACAATCTGGGGGATAAATATCTTCATACTTTGCTGCAATAAATAAAGCTGAAACACCAACTAATTGTAGAGTTTCTTTTCCAACTTCTTTATGCTTCTCTAAGTATTCATCAATTATTGAAACAGTTAAGTGAAGTGTTTCTAATGCTAATTTAAAATCACTGTGAACATCAACTAGCCAGTCAATCAAAACTTGTCTTATTTTCGGTTTTGTGCGATGTCCATTTAGAAATTCCCCTTTAACCAAATCTTTTCGTCTTAATTCCAATTCTCTTAAGTTCGCAAAAATATCGTTGATGTATACCGAAACCATTTGAGGATCATCAGATGTATCAAAATTTGAAACAAAAATTGGGGCCTCAGATTTTTTCTCCAACTCATTTTTTCTAACTTCTTGCAATACATCAACAGTTTTCTGTGATTGAAGTTGAGGTCGATTGAAAGTTTGAATTCTTGGAACTGCCGTTGTTGAGGTAATCGTTTTTGTTGTAGCTGATGATGTAGTAACTTTTTGTCGAACGCCAACCTGAGTTCTTTTCTCCACCAAAACTCTAGTGTTAACTGTAGATGATGTTATTTTCGTTGTAACAATTTGATTGCTTTTTATTTGTTGCGCATCGTTGGTTTTCTTCAATACTTGATTACCCAAAACCTGCCTATCATTACCAACATCATTCAAAGGACGGCGAGCTTTAATTAAACACCGAGATGGTTCCATAGCTGATTTTACACGTGTTAATGCGCTTATATTTTCTTGGCTTGAAGTCTTTGTAGAAACCTAATTTTTTATTTAAAAAAAATCATTAATATTTAGTTAATATTAAGATCATAACTTACTTTTATTGGCACTTTCCGTTCTGGTTCCTTAAAAGGTCCCTTAAGACGTTGTTGTCCTCTATCAGACATCTAGAATTAAAAAAATAAATAAATAAAACTACTTTTTAAAATATTACGATTAAAATTGCAATTATAACAAAGAAAGAAAAAAATTAATTATATTGGCTGTTTATCAAATCGGTTAGAAAATATATTTTAAATGCACAAATAAACTCTACACTACAGCGACGATAATAGAGACCAAACTGGTTTGATCATGTGAATGAGAACAGATATATGGTCAAAAAAGTTCTGGACTATGTTCCAAAACGGAGAAAGAGAAAAGAGAGATAATTTGAACTTATTTCCGCCGTTTCGAATTCTATTCCTGACATAGGTAGTACATAACAGATAACAGAGTTTCTCTCATCTGGGTCTCAGGTCACTCTGGGGTTGGCAGACAATAATAATATTTTTTTGATCCAAATAAAATACAGAATACCTAAACAACAAAATAACAATCAAGTACCAAATATACAAGTTTGAACGCACGAACCTAGCCGGCACACCTCGCAGAACCGGGAATCGAATTCAAAAAACGAGCAACCTGGTACGAAAATGAACACTTGAATTTTAAGGACCTATGCGACGGAATGTTTAGACAAAATTTGTGTCGGAGATTCAAGTTATGAATATTCGGGTTTAAACCCGATACTTTTTAGGTCTAGTGTTAGTTCTAGTTTTGCATTAGCACTGTCACTAAAACTAACATAACACCTAGAACTAGACTCATTCGGATTTAGCCGTCTTGAGAGACGTGCAGCTAAACCCGAATGTTTCTAGTTCTAGGTCTAGTGTTAGGTCTAGTTGTAGTCTAGCGCAGATAAAAGACAAGTAGTGCACCACAACCCTCTGTCGCATATTCAGCCAGTCACTAGATAACAAAACTTGCGATACATGATCAGCTCTTCGAAGATGATACATAAAACGAAGACAAGAATTCTGCACAACCTGAACCATAACCTTAAACTCTCCCGGGATAAACATGAACCAAATACAATATCACAATAATTAAAGTGAGACAATACAAGAGAATCACAAAGGAGTCGTTTCAAACCATGCGATAAAAACATCTAAACGCTCACCAAACGCAAGCTGACAAATAAACTACCCTTTTTAGTAAATAAAATACATTGAGTCTTGTCAGGGTTGACCAAAAGAGCATGTCTCTTAATTTCCATACTAAAGTGATTTAAATTGCTTGTGTACAGGGTGTTCCAATTTCGATGTCCGCATAGGCTATCTCCGAAACTAAAAGATATAGAAAAAAAGTAGCTTACATGTCATGATCTCGTTTTTCGAGAANATGTATCAAAATTTGAAACAAAAATTGGGGCCTCAGATTTTTTCTCCAACTCATTTTTTCTAACTTCTTGCAATACATCAACAGTTTTCTGTGATTGAAGTTGAGGTCGATTGAAAGTTTGAATTCTTGGAACTGCCGTTGTTGAGGTAATCGTTTTTGTTGTAGCTGATGATGTAGTAACTTTTTGTCGAACGCCAACCTGAGTTCTTTTCTCCACCAAAACTCTAGTGTTAACTGTAGATGATGTTATTTTCGTTGTAACAATTTGATTGCTTTTTATTTGTTGCGCATCGTTGGTTTTCTTCAATACTTGATTACCCAAAACCTGCCTATCATTACCAACATCATTCAAAGGACGGCGAGCTTTAATTAAACACCGAGATGGTTCCATAGCTGATTTTACACGTGTTAATGCGCTTATATTTTCTTGGCTTGAAGTCTTTGTAGAAACCTAATTTTTTATTTAAAAAAAATCATTAATATTTAGTTAATATTAAGATCATAACTTACTTTTATTGGCACTTTCCGTTCTGGTTCCTTAAAAGGTCCCTTAAGGCGTTGTTGTCCTCTATCAGACATCTAGAATTTAAAAAATAAATAAATAAAACTACTTTTTAAAATATTACGATTAAAATTGCAATTGTAACAAAGAAAAAAAAATTAATTATGCTGGCTGTTTATTAAATCGGTTAGAAAATATATTTTAAATGCACAAATAAACTCTACACTACAGCGACGATAATAGAGACCAAACTGGTTTGATCATGTGAATGAGAACAGATATATGGTCAAAAAAGTTCTGGACTATGTTCCAAAACGGAGAAAGAGAAAAGAGAGATAATTTGAACTTATTTCCGCCGTTTCGAATTCTATTCCTGACATAGGTAGTACATAACAGATAACAGAGTTTCTCTGATCTGGGTCTCAGGTCACTCTGGGGTTGGCAGACAATAATAATATTTTTTTGATCCAAATAAAATACAGAATACCTAAACAATAAAATAACAATCAATTACCAAATATACAAGTTTGAACGCACGAACCTAGCCGGCACACCTCGCAGAACCGGGAATCAAATTCCAAAAACGAGCAACCTGGTACGAAAATGAACACTTCAATTTTGAGGACCTATGCGACGGAATATTTAGACAAAATCTGTGCCGGAGATTCAAGTTATGAATATTCGGGTTTAAACCCGATACTTTCTAAGTCTAGTGTTAGTTCTAGTTTTATACTAGCACTATTACTAGAACTGACACAAGACCTAGAATTAGAATCATTCGGGTTTAGCCATCTTGAGAGATGTACGGCTAAATCCGAATGTTCCTAGTTCTAGGTCTAGTATTAGTTCTAGTTTTACACCAGCACTATCACTAGAGCTAACACAAGACCTAGAACTAGAATCATTCGGGTTTAGCCGTCTTGAGAGACGTGCGGCTAAACCAGAATGTTTCTAGTTCTCAGTCTAGTGTTAGTTCTAGTTTTACACTAGCACTATCCCTAGAACTAACACAAGACCTATAACTAGAATCATTCGGGTTTAGCGTCTTGAGAGACGTGCGGCTAAATCCGATTGTTTCTAGTTCTTAGTCCAGTATTAGTTCTAGTTTTGCACTAGCACTATCTCTAGAATTAACACAAGACCAAGAACTAGAATCATTCGGGTTTAGCCGTCTTGAGAGACGTGCAGCTGCTAAACCCGAATGTTTCTAGATCTAGGCCTAGTGTTAGTTTTGCATTAGCACTGTCTCTAAAACTAACATAAGACCTAGAACTAGAATCATTCGGGTTTAGCCGAATTCTAGCGTTAGTTCTATTTGTAGTCTAGCGCAGATAAAAGACAAGTAGTGCACCACAACCCTCTGTCGCATATTCAGCCAGTCACTAGATAACAAAACTTGCAATACATGATCAGCTCTTCGAAGATTATACATAAAACGAAGACAAGAATTCTGCACAACTTGAACCACAACCTTAAACTATCCCGGGATAAACATGAACCAAATACAATATAACAATAATTAAAGTGAGACAATACAAGAGAATCACAAAGGAGTCGTTTCAAACCATGCGATAAAAACATCTAAACGCCTACATAATAAATTAATATGCTCACCAAACGCAAGCTGACAAATAAACTACCCTTTTTAGTAAATAAAATACATTGAGTCTTGTCAGGGTTGGCCAAAAGAGCATGTCTCTTAATTTCCATACTTAAGTGATTTAAATCCTCCGTTACTTTATCACAAGCTTCCGATCGCTCACCAGGCAGGAAATCTAGATACAATTGGGAATCATCAGCATAAAGATGATAAGAACAATACTTTAACTTTGAGAATAAATTCCTGGTATAGGTTGTAAATAAGATATGACCAAGCATAAATCCCTACGGAACACCAGCAACCAATTCAAAAGAATCAGAATACTGTGACTTCACCTTAACCGCCTGCGTTCTATCAAATAGATAACTGTTAAACAAAGAAAAAGCACGCATTCAAGATATCAAACACTCTTTAACTGGTTTCGTGTGAGGAACAGGAGTCACCATTTCCATGCCTTAGGATAAATCAACATTATTAGACAAAAGTTGAAAATATGACAGAGAACATTCAAAATACGAGGACAACACAACCTAACCATATCTAGAGAAATATCATCCAAACCAACACTAGTAGACTTAAACAAAAGCAGATACCGCTTAATAAAATCCATGGACACTTCCTTGAATGTAAAAGGAATAGAGTCAGGATTTAATTGATTGGTTTGATAGAAAATCAATAAACCCGAGTCAGGCTTAATAACAACATCAGCAACAGATTTAGAAAAAAACAAATTGACACTATCAGGGTCAGCCAGGTGGAGAGGTAAATCTGGTAGATATTAGACTTAACAAAATTAAATTTTCCACATCAAACTAAAACCTTCATCATGCAGCTCCGTTCAATAAAAGCTATTTTCTCACGACGAATAGCACCGGTAACAAAATTACTGCTTATAATACTAAAAATGTGCAGGATTTCTTTATGTTGGCAATAATCCACGGCATTGAGTTTCTCTTTCAAGTCCTAATAACGATGGGTTGGGTTCGTTAAAATAATTAACATTGTCATCAATAGAAGAAAGGTCATACACTGCCTCCCAGTTGATAATATCTAAGTGCCTGTTAAACGCGTCCATGACAATACCTCGTAAATTGCGGAATCTTATAATCTTAGATACAACCACCGACCTTTGTAATGATAGCTCAGAAAAAATCAACAGATGGTCAGAGAAGCCAAGATCAATTGTATTATAATTGACAACAAGCAGACTACCTGATAAAAAGATCAAATCAAGAAGTGCCCGAGATCCTTGTAATCTCAAATGTACTTCTAAGAGAACAGAAGATGGATTCTCAAGCATGAAGTTAACGTTAAAATCATGTTACCACCATCTCATCAACTAAGCGATGCACGAAAGAAAGAGACTTTTCGAGTATTTCAGTAAATAAATTTAAATCATAACTAGGAGGTCTTCAGAGAGCTTTCAATTTCTAGCGCAAACTGAACATCAATTAGACTACAAGTATAAACGATGGATACAGATGAGCTAGCATGAGAGAACAGCGCTAAAGCATTTGTGGGGCCAGAGCCAACAGTTAATATATCATTTGCAATGGCCAACCATAGGATTGGACGGAAGGCAGTGTCCGTTATAGCTCATTAAAAATATACAATAATCTAGTGCTAAATAACAAATATAACTAGACTAACACTAGCACTAAACATTCCGTTTAGCCGTGCGTCTGTTAAGACGGGTAAACCTAAATGTTTCTAGTTCTAATGTTAGTTGTAGTGACAGTGCTAGGTTAGCATTAAGTTAGCATTAAATATCACTATTTAAATATCAGTATTGCATATTTTTATTGAATTAAAACTAGAACTAACACTAGTCTAAGACGCACAGCTAAACCCGAAACTTACTAGTTCTAGGTCTAGTGCTAGTTCTAATTTTACATTAGCATTATCACTAGAATTAACACAAAGCTAGTACTAGAATCATTTGCGTTTTCCCAAGTTGCGAGACGTGCGGCTAAACCCAAATGTTTCTAGTTCTAGGTCTAGTGTTAGTTCTAGTTTTGTATTAGCACTATCACAAGACCTAGAACTAGTATCATTCGGGTTTAGCCGTCTTGAGAGACGTGCGGCTAAACCCGAATGTTTCTAATTCTATGTCTAGTGTTAGTTCTAGTGATAGCGCAAAACTAGAACTAACACAAGACCTAGAACTAGAATCATTCGAGTTTAGCAGTCTTGAGAGACTTGCTGCTAAACTCGAATGTCTCTAGATCTAGGTCTAGTGTTAGTTTTGCATTAGCACTGTCACTAAAACTAACATAAGACCTCTATTCTAGAAAACTAGAATCATTCTAGTTATAGGCCTAGCGTTAGTTCTAGTTTTGCACTATCACTAGAACTAACACAAGACCTAGAACTAGATTCATTTGGGTTTAGCAGTCTTGAGAGACGTGCAGCTAAAAGCGGACGTTTCTAGTTCTAATGTTAGTTCTAGTTTTGCACTAGCACTGTCACTAAAACTAACATAAGACTTATACTAGAATCATTCGGGTTTACCAGTCTTGAGAAATATGCAGCTAAAACCGAATGTTTCTAGTTCTAGGGTTAGTTCTAATTTTGCACTAGTACTATCTCTAGAACTAACACAAAACCTAGAACTAGAATCATTCGGGTTTAGCTGTTTTGAGAGATGTGCAGCTAATGTAATGGATATTTTTAATTGTACACTAAAAATGGTGCCCCTTATGACTAAAAAGTAATATGTATAGATGATATCTCATTGAATAATACCATACAAGTACTAAAAAACAATCATTTGGGACAGATCAACATTAATCTTAATCATAATCATCCCTGTTCAAATAAGTAGCCGATTATTAATCACTCCCTGTATATTTTCTAACCGATTATATTAAAAAGCCAACATCCCCTGAAACCAGGGCAACTTCTTTTCTTTTTCTTCGAGTATGCAAAATCTTAAATAAATACATAAATAGTACCTAAAATAAATAATAAATTTAATAGATAAAATATTAATGGTAATAATTAAAAGATATAAAATATAATTTTAAATGGAATTAAGATATTACTAATGTAACCACGCCGTTTTATCCACTTTTTCACCCAAAATCCACTTTTTATATGAACCGAATTCAAATTTTGACCGTTACAAAACCGAACGTCAACGGAAATTTTAAACGAATCTTCAACAACTTTCAAATAAACACCCGCTTAATTAAAAATCTAATAAATATCTTACCTTAAAATCTCGTTAATTCTTGTATAACACGGAGTAAAATATTTAAAAAAGGTTGAGTCGTTAAAATATAAAAATCCGACTTCTTCGTTAGACAACTGTCAACCGATTTCTGTCGGTTAAAAGAACGAGCACGTTATCAAGACGCGGCGAGAGTGAGATAAACAATGATATACTCCATGCTGATTGGTTTAAATCGAATTACCCAGAAAGCATTTTTATTGCGGCAAATTTAAATCGTCTTATTTTTCTTTTAGGGTCGAAGTTTTAGTGAAGCTGAATTACGTGATATTTGCGGGGCTGTTTTACGAGAACAATTAGGTGCTTTGACAGCGAATCTTATGGGTCCCCCAGGACCACCGGGGCGGTCGAAACCGGGGAGACCTGGAGCTACCGGTGTTCAAGGTCCACCAGGTAAATTTAATTAATTAAATAAAGATTATCTAATAAGAATAATTTTGATTAGGTGATCCCGGTTCTGTTGGTTTACCTGGTGAGCGTGGTTTTCCTGGTATACAAGGGCTACCTGGTGCACCAGGAATGGTTGGTATGCCAGGGGAAAAGGGGGAAAAAGGAGACAAGGGACCTGAAGGTATTGGAATTGAAGGATCTCCAGGTCCCAGGGGATTACCCGGCCCACCTGGTCCTGAAGGAGTTGGTCTTCCTGGTCGGGCTGGAGAAAGAGGTGAAATGGGAAGAGCTGGTAAAGCTGGATTAAGAGGAAGTCCAGGACCACAAGGACCACCTGGTTATTGCGAATTTTGTAATTATCCACCAAATCTTTATGAGTATGCGTTAAGAAGTAGAGGAAATGAAAAAGGACCATAATAATAATTAATTAAAAAGATTTTTATAAAAATTACTGCCACTAAAATTAATTTATGACCATAAAAGGCAAAAAAGTAAATAAAACATTTTTCGTATTCTCATACTATAATATGCACTACTTTTATTACTAATATAACATATAAATAGTTAACAATTTTATATTATTTTAAAATTAAAATAAAAAAAAAAGAAAAATGTTTTTATAACACGAACAATCCATGTTTTACAGTTTCTGCTCTTTTCTTTTTAATAAAATACACTTCAACCGAGGGTTATTTGTTATTTTCTTAGTTTTTAGTTTTCTTATTGGACAACTTAGGATGGCTTTATCCCATTAATGCACAGAACAATTTTTCAAACATTTAAAAAAGAAACATTCTTTTTGGTTATTCTCCAAAAACACAAGGCATGAATGGGTTAAAACATTTTATTTTTCGCAAAACATTTTTATTTACATTGTTTTAACCAACAAAAGTATGACGATGATTGAGATTTGATAATTTATATTTTAGGAGAGATCTATAATTAGGGTTAGTTGTTTATCTAGCCTAAACATTCTTTTCATAATGATTGATTATAGTTTTAAGATTTTCTTTATAGTGTTTAATTTCTTCTTGGACTTTAAAGCTGCAATGTTTATGATGAAAAAATAAAATTTATAAATAAATTTGGAGAAATGTTTCAATAAATTTATCAATTTTAATTTTTATAATTACACTGTTTTATAGCAAAAGTATTTGGTAGATTTTTTACTTATCTAGTTCTTAAACATTTTTGTATCGCTTTCAAGAGTTTCAAGCGAGCTCAGCTTAATTAACATTTATTATATTGCCTGATCCAGCCAAGGTTGCTTGCGACTCACGCATACAATTAATAATCACATCGGTACAACATTGACAGCATATTATATTGTAGCGCCTTGGCTGCAAAAGGCCTCGACTTAATCAACATTAAAAACATACTATAATATATAATTAAGCCAAGGTTGCTGCTTGCTGCCGCGGTGCTACATTTGATACCATATCGGCACAATATTAAACAGCACATATTGTAGCGCCTTGGCTTAACCAACATTAAAGAACATACTATAACATATAGTTAAGCCAAGGTTGCTTGCTGCCGCAATGCTACATTTGATACCATATCGGTACAATATTAAACACCACATATTGTAGCGCCTTGAGTTAACCAACATTAAAGAACATAGTATAATATATAGTTAAGCCAAGGTTGCTTGCTGCCGCGGTGCTACATTTGATACCATATCGCTACAATATTAAACAGCACATATTGTAGCGCCTTGGCTTAACCAACATTAAAGAACATACTATAACATATAGTTAACCCAAGGTTGCTTGCTGCCGCGGTGCTACATTTGATACCATATTGGTACAATATTAAACAGCACATATTATAGCGCCTTGGCTTAACCAACATTAAAGAACATACTATAATACACAGGCTGTCTCACGTAACTGGTTCGTTAGAACTTTTTTAGGTGCTAATATTTGTACAGTTTTGAAATTTTGGTACTATGGGTTGTTCAGTCGGAACTTTCGATCTAAAATATTTTCAAGATGGCTGCCACTTCCGGTCTAGCGGAAGTAGACCATAACTTCGTTATTTTTAATGGAATGCTATAGTTTTTATTGCACCTTTTAATTGTACGTAAAAAAATATGTTGACTTTCATAAAAGTTATTGGTACCTAGCGTTTTTCGTTTTCGAGTTATTTTGATTTTAAGGTTTTTTTGGCAAATTTCACCATGCACTTTAAAACCCTATATCCCAGCCAACGTTCATTCAAAAAAGCTCTAAATTGGCACGATTACTCTTCAGATGCTCTCAAATAGATTGTCATATATTGTATCAGAGTATCTTATACAGGATGGTCAAAAATTGAATTACCGTTTCTCCATATTCAATGGGGAGAAAGTCGAAAATTTTAAATGGAACGCCCCATATTTTATTAGCCTACACGAAAGGGAATTTAATTCTCTACAATTTATCTATAAACATTCCTATACTTATTTATTGTAGTTTCTCTCATATTCGTAAATTTATCAAAACATGCAGAAAATGCAGGAAACCGTTTGTATTTTTATTAGAAGGCCGTAACATTTTGACAGTTTTTTGTTTAATTTATTTCTATTATTATTTGTACTATTAACTACGATTGATAATCTTTTAGTTTACTAGTTTTTACTTACCAAAAATAACAAACAGAAGATCAAATAAATGAAACAATTAAAACAAAAAGTTAATGACAAAAATTAGATTTGAATAAAAATATAAATTTATAATATAAATTTGTTATTAAATTGAATTTGGAAATGCAATAAAATACGTTAAATTATTTATTTCGTTGTCTTCATCACTGGTGACCGGAAATATGCGATTTCTTTTGGTCTCGATATATCCAGAACTAATAAATTCTTTATCAATTTTTTGAAATTTTTCCTTGTGATGGGCGTTAGGTTTGTTAGGCATCTCTCATTAAGTGTTCGACACGTCTTGTCCGAAAGTTTATTACATTCGCCATCAATACAAAATAAATTTCAAATATCGGCGTTGGAATAATTTACCATGATGTTCAATAACTTACACCCGTCGTCAAATGTAACTAATGGCAACAATAATACAAACATGGACCAAAAACTGTCAACATTCCATAGCTTTCTAATAAAAAAACCTGCATTTCGTGCATGTTTTAATAAATATCGCAATATGAGGCAAACTACAATAAATAGGTATGGGAATGTGTATAGGTAATTTGTAGAGAATTAGATTCTCTTCCTGATAGCCTAAAAAAATATGGGGCGTTCCATTTAAAATTTTCGACTTTCTCGCCATTGAATATGGAGAAACAGTAATTCAATTTTTGACCACCCTGTATAAGATACTCCGATACAACAAATGGCAATCTATTTGACAACATCTGAAGAGTAATCGTGCCAAAGTAGATCTTTTTTGAATGAACTTTGGCTGAGATATGGAGTTTTAAAGAGCATGTTGAAATTTACCAAAAAAAGTTTAAAACCAAAATAACTCGAAAACAAAAAACGCTAGGTACCAATAACTTTTATCAAAGTCAACCTATTTTTTTACGTACAATTAAACTGTGTAATAAAAACTATAGCATTCCATTTAAAATAGCGAAGTTATGGTCTACTTCCGGTAGACCGGAAGTGGCGGCCATCTTGAAAATATTTTAGATCGAAAGTTCCGAATGAACAACCCATGCTACCAAAATTTCAAATCTCTACGAATAGTGGAAGATGAAAAAGTTCTAACGAACCAGATACGTGAGACACCCTGTATAGTTAAGCCGAAGTTGCTTACTGCCGCGGTGCTACATTTGATACCATATCGGTACAATATTAAACAGCACATATTATAGCGCCTTGATTTAACCAACATTAAAGAACATACTATAACATATAGTTAAGCCAAGGTTGCTTGCTGCCGCGATGCTACATTTGATACCATATCGGTACAATATTAAACACCACATATTGTAGCGCCTTGAGTTAACCAACATTAAAGAACATAGTATAATATATAGTTAAGCCAAGGTTGCTTGCTGCCGCGGTGCTACATTTGATACCATATCGCTACAANTATAGCATTCCATTTAAAATAACGAAGTTGTGGTCTACTTCCGGTAGACCGGAAGTGGTGGCCATCTTGAAAATATTTTAGATTGAAAGTTTAGAATGAACAACATATACTACCAAAATTTCAAACCTCTACAAATAGTGGAACCTAAAAAAGTTCTAACGAACCAGTTACGTGAGACACCCTGTATAGTTAAGCCAAGGTTGCTCGTTGTCGCGGTGCTACATTTGATACCATATCGGTACAATATTAAACACCACATATTGTAGCGCCTTGAGATAACCAACATTAAAGAACATACTATAATATATAATTAAGCCAAGGTTGCTTGCTGCCGCGGTGCTACATTTGATACCATATCGATACAATATGGAACAGCACATATTATAGCGGCCTCACTAAACATCACAAAGTTATATATTAGCAGACTAACAACTGAATGAACTTTGTGTTCATAATTTTGCTATAAAACAGTGTTAATAAAATATTTAAAAAAAAGTATAATTAAGTATTGTTTGATTTTTTTAAAAACATTTATTTCTTTAGTTTTTCGTTTCATTTAGCTTCATTACTCTATCTAAAATCTATGCAAGAATAATGTGATACTGGCATAATGATGCTATAATTTTCACTCTGATAATTTCTTAAGTATCGACAAAAACATAGTTGACCAACGAAACGGATTTTTGTGTCGATATGTATCATTATTAGTATATGTGTGTACTAATTTGTTTTTCAATGCGTTTTCTTTTTATTTTAAGCGTTATCAATGAGTTTCATGATTAAATAGAAAAAAAAATGTTAACGTTAAAATGATTTTTTTTGTTTTCTTGATTCTATTTAATATGCAAATTGTAAAATGTATAAAGTACAAAAATGAATAAGTTAGGGGTTATTATTTACTTGGTCAGGAAATACATCTTTTCTTCATCATTTTTTTTTTTTTTAATACGATTGTTTAGGAATTTTAGGATTAAAAAGTAATTTGAAATTAAATTAAAATATAAAATTTTCACCAACATTCGATTCTTTTTTTTTTCTTCACATTTTTATCGATTAACCCAATTTTTAAGAGCTTCCTCCCACTCAAGTGTCTCTTTAGATTTTCCTTCGTGCGGTGATGTCGCATCATTAAAATTTTTCGAATCTTTAGGCGTTTTTACAGTTTGATGATCACCGTTATCATTCTATATCAAAAGATTTCTTTTTTAATCATTTTTTTTGTTATATTAATATTTTACCTGTTGATAATGAGTCATAAATCCTTGTTGAAACGTAAAATTATGATGACTCGCATTTGGAATTTGACTTTGATATCCTTGATTTCCATAATTTTGACTGTGATTATTCTCTTGGGGACTTTGTGGATGTCTCGCTTGTAATTCAGCCATAAAATTTGCTTCTTGAGCGTATCTACGTTGAAGTTCTTGTTGCCAACCGCCATCCGATTCGTCTTCACCATCATCTTCGAAATCTAATAAATTTTGAAATTTTAAAAAATATATGAAAAATTTAGGGGAAGTTTAGGCTAAGCAACTTTCACAGGTATTTTAATATCAGCAGACATTTATTGATATCGTTCTGTATATTGATTCTTTTACCATTTCATATTTATCAACAACAATTCTTTTCAAACACTCTCTCTTAACAGTCATTAATTTAATGTGAACATACTAATAAGTTAACAATAAGTAGACATAATAATCTTGACGGAAACGCTCAGAATACCTCAGGAAATATAACCACAAATACACGTGGTTACAAATAATAAGCAATCTAAAGTCAGGAAAAGGAACACAGGAAGTTAGAAAAAAAATGAAATCTTCACCAAATAAAAGGAAAACTCTTCAGGATTATCATGGAGATGTTTGTACAACAACAAATGGAGGCCACATCGAACTGTACTGAACAAGTATGAAATTAGGAGAGCTTTCCTTTTATTTGGTGCTGATTTCACATTTCTATTTTGCCTTGTTCCTTTCTTGTGACCGATCAAAAGTGCATTATGACTTTATGGACACACTGTATATCAATATTCTATTTTAGCTTGCAAGAAAAAAGTCCTTTTGGGAATCGTGTTGTTCCTCCAATCTATGTGTCTATGCCACTACCAAAGGCGTATGAAATGGAAAAAATCATGTCATTGTCTTGAGTCTTTTCCTGCACATTGTAATATTTGTTCCAGTTTCTCTTGATTCTTTTACATCTTGATAATCATGCCCAATTTGTATCAAAATTTTATTTATTCAATAATACTCTCAGCATCTCTGAATATAGTATAAATCAAGCAAAATTGTCCCGAACTATGTTACAAAGGAATCATCTGATGCCTATGAGAGAGAGAATGACTCAAAGATTAAAGTTATAAAAAGTACGAGATTATTTTGTTGGCCACTTAACCGTAACTTCCCCTATAAGAAAAAGAACTTGTTAAAAATAAATTTCTTACCCTTTTAAAATTAAAAATAAATGTAAAAAGTGTTAATTTAGATTTCATTAATCTTAATGTGTGTTTTGTGCCGTTTGAAATAAAAATATTCTTTTTTTGTGAACTTGGAAATATTCTTTATTACTGGGTGGTGTAAACTATTTTTGAGACGATCATTAAAGTACAAAAAACAAATACTTTTGGCTGTAAAAAAAAAGAAAGTTTTATATTTATTTACAATAAGTTGGGACAAAAAATAAATAAAAGACAAAGACCACCGAAATAGCGTTGATTTCGTTTTACTCACCCAAAAATCTATTATGAATATTTGTAGGTTGAGGAAGACTTGAAGATTCTGCAAAAATAATCATTCACAACAGGCAACATTCCACATACACTACATTAAAAAAAATATCATCAAAGACAGGATCACACTCTATATCAACAATTAAAAAAAACAAACTCTTTTATTATTTTAAGTTAAATTTTAAGTTTAAGCTAATTTATCCTAAACTAGATTAATAAACTATTTGCTATTTTTAATTTATGTATTTATTTACATAAAATACTTAAAAAAGAATGGGAAAGTGTTTTTCTTGTGAAAATAATAATAATAATAATACAATAATAAAAAGGCGTATTAATCTAAAAATAAAATTTATTTAAAAAAATAATCACAATGTGTAACAAGGGAAAAATAAATAAATCTATGTAGAGAAAGATAGAGAGTGAGCACAGATTATTAAAATAATAATAATAATAACAATTCTTTTTAGTTACAACTTCACAAAAGCCTTCTTAAAAAAATATTATAAAAACATAACGAAAAAGGTGTTTTTTTAATTAAGAAGTTTACGTGTGTGTTTTGAATGAATTAGTAAAAAGTACAAAAGAAAACATAAAAAATGTTTGAATATTATAAATTATAAGTACGACCTCAATTAGCACCAGAAAATATATTAAAACGACAACTTTTCCTAATCTCCTAACATGCCATCATCATCAAATTTTAAATACATGAAAACTGAACTTTTAGCACCTCAACATGCCTTAAAAATTAAAATTAACTAAAACAAAAAATTAAAAAATACATCTTGATCAAAATGAAATGTTAAACATTTTTTTTTTTTTGATCGAGATTATTTTTTTTTAATAACATAAATTTAATTGAACCAGAAAAAATTAAAAAAATTCTAACGACAGTTCACAAATCGGAAAAGAAACATTAAAACAAATATTATAGACAAGTTGTTATAAGAAATAGAAATAGAGAGAAAGAGAAGATATTTTTTTACAATAAGCACAAGAAAAAAATTATAAAAGTAGTTATAATAATGTATAAGATGTTTAATAAAATAAAACTTCTTTAATTTGGGTAAAAACCTTATTAGGTATTTGTTTAAATCAATGATTTAACTTTGATTCATTAAATGTCATATCCATAGAAAATATTTACATTTATAGAAGAGTTATTTATTAGTGTCATTTATTTAAGATAGAAAAAACTAAAAAATGAAAAACGATGGAGTGAACTTGAACCTGGGAGAGGTTGAAGAGAATTCTAGAGGAGGTCAAGACCTAGAACGGGTTGTAGAGCTAATGATGAAGATGTAAATAAACGAAAAAAGGATCCGGAAGTCATGAAAGTTGATTTTTAAAATCAACAATTTTATTGTTGTCTGCTTTAGTTGTTCGGAAATCAAAAGAAGAACATATTCCGATTGTTGTTGCCCTTCCAACGTTTAAAAATTGTTCAAGAAGAAAACTAGCTATTTGGAATGCGATTGTAGACAGGAACCTTTAAGATAAGTATAGTATTTGTTTAATACGCGTCAAATAAAACTCGTATCTATGATTTAGGTTGTAGACCACAAACTTAATAGAGAAATTGTTATTTTTACTTGCCACCATCACTCCATTTTTCAAAAAGTTTCGAAAATGATAATTTGTCATTAAAAGATTTGTTCTATACATATACAACAATCTAAACAAGCGCCGAATAACAATTAAAACTAAAACTAACGCTAGACCTAAATAGTTGGGACACCTCAAAGATAGCTTTACGCTGAAAAAAACTTCCAGGTCACAGACAGGCTAACAGTGCCTCAGCAAAGTGGATCTAAGGTCGCTCACAGGCTTCTTAACCGGCACATTGGACAAGCTGAGGATTAAACTTGTCGACTTTGCAACGACGAGTCAGAGTGTGTGAATGCGTAGCCAGAGGCCGAACAAAACCTACTACCGACTTAAAGAAACAAAACCTTGGAAGCAATACTAAGGTTCATCAAGGACCTAAATTTGCTCTAAACCTTTGGGTGGCTTAACCCTTTGTGTCCTGACGGTACTTTAAAACACTCATTTTAAACTGTAGTCATCTATTCGGCGCATTTAGAGCTGTCGGTACTTTCTACTATACAAGAAAGAATCTGTAGCTTGAAAGAATTGGAGCTTTAATTTAGAAAAAGTCTCATTCCTTAATTTCAATAAATACGGCTTCCAGGAATTTTTAAATTAGCATCTTTTTTGATACTTTTAGGTTATACGAAAATGTAACTTTTGTTGCAACATTTTTTTCTCAATATTTTTCCAATCCAACCCAACAATTATTATTATTATACATCATTGTAAAGAGAAAGCTTTGAGCTTTAATTTAGAATAAGTCTCATTCCTTAATTTGAATAAATACGGCTTCCAGGAATTTTTAAATTAGCATCTTTTTTGATAGTTTTAGGTTATACGAAAATGTAAGTTTTGTTGCAACATTTTTTTTCTCAACATTTTTCCAATCCAACCCAACAATAATTATATATCATTGTAAAGAGAAAGCTTTGAGCTTTAATTTAGAATAAGTCTCATTCCTTAATTTCAATAAATACGGCTCCCACGAATTTTTAAATTAGTATCTTTTTTGACACTTTTAGGTTATACGTAAATATAAGTTTTATGTCAACTTTTTTTTTCCTCAATATTTTTCCAATCCAACCCAACAATTATTATACATCATTTTAAAGAGAAAGAGCTTTAATTTAGAATAAGTCTCATTCCTTAATTTGAATAAATAGGGCTTCCAGGAATTTTTGAATTTGCATCTTTTTTGACACAATGTTAGATTTTACTCAATATGTTTTTTCTCAATATGTTATCAGATTTTCGTCGTTCTGTAAATACAGGTCTGATAAATAAATATTCAAATTTACTGCGTCCACGAAAATGTAGCGAAAGTTCAAAAGAAAGAGGAAGTTGTGAAAATTGTCCTGCCAAAGCTAGACCCCACTCAAAATGTACTGCGTGCAATGTTTATTTATGTTGTAATGAAAGAAAGAACTGTTTTTCTGAATGTCATAATGTGATTTAGATAAAGCAAGTGTTACTTATTTTCAAACGTAATAAAAAATGTATTATTTTTATATTAGCAATAATAGTTTTTGTATACTGAAAATATATTTTAATGCTGATTGCATATTTTGCTAAAATTGATTCCAAAGGCCTCTACTGAGTGTATTTTGATAGCGTTTTAATTCTGTCACAAAGTTTCAAAANACATTTTTTTTCTCAATATTTTTCCAATCCAACCCAACAATTATTATACATCATTGTAAAGAGAAAGCTTTGAGCTTTAATTTAGAATAAGCCTCATTCCTTAATTTCAATAAATACGGCTTCCACAAATTTTTAAATTAGCATCTCTTTGACACTTTTAGGTTATACGTAAATATAAGTTTTATGTCAACTTTTTTTTCCTCAATATTTTTAAAATCCAACCCAACAATAATTATACATCATTTTAAAGAGAACGCTTTGAGCTTTAATTTAGAATAAGTCTCATTCCTTAATTTGAATAAATACGGCTTCCAGGAATTTTTGAATTTGCATCTTTTTTGACACAATGTTAGTTTTCGTTGTTCTGTAAATACAAGTCTGATAAACAAATATTCAAATTTACTGCGTCCATGAAAATGTAGCGCAAGTTCAAAAGAAAGAGGAAGTTGGGAAAATTATTCTTCCAAAGCTTTGACCAAAATGTACTGCGTGCAATGTTTATTTATGTTGTAATGAAAGAAAGAACTGTTTTTCTGAATGTCATAATGTGATTTAGATAAAGCAAGTGTTATTTATTTTCTAACATAATAAAAAATGTATTATTTTTATATTAGCAATAATAGTTTTTGTATACTGAAAATATATTTTAATGCTGATTGCATATTTTGCTAAAATTGATTCCAAAGGCCTCTACTGAGTGTATTTTGATAGCGTTTTAATTCTGTCACAAAGTTTCAAAATTTTTGACTTCTTGGGACACAAAGGGTTAAGTTACAACAGATTTTATCTTTTCGTTGTTATTCAGTGCTAAAGTTTTGTATAGCTTTATTGAACTAAAAGTATATTTCTATTTAACTAAAACTAGAATGAACACTAGACCTAGAACCAGAAACTTTCTAGTTGTAGGTCTAGTATTAGTTCTAGTTTTAATTGTTATGCAGCGCTAGACCAAGAACTAGAATCATTCGGGTTTATCCGTCTTAAGAGACGTATGGCTAAACCCGAATGTTTCTAGTTCTAGGTCTAGTGTTAGTTCTAGTGATAGTGCTACTGCAAAACTACAACTAACACTAGACCTAGAACTAGAAACATTCGGATTTAGCCGCACGTCTCTCAAGACGGCTAAATCCGAATGATTCTAGTTCTAAGTTTAGTGTTAGTTCTAGTGATAGTGTAAAACTAGAACTAACACTAGATCTAGAACTAGAAAGTATCGAATGTTTCTAGTTCTAGGTCTCGTGTTAGTTCTAGTTTTAATTGTTATTCAACGCTAAATTGTTGTATATTTTTATTGATCTAAAAGTACAACCAACACTAGACCTAGAACTAGAAACATTCAGGAGTATTGACAACTGTGAATTTAACATTTTTGTAAAGAAAGTTGTTAACTTATCATTTATTATTATATTTTCTATGGATAAACATAGAAAAAATTTTCTAATCAAAATTTAGTTTTTAAACTTAAATTCAAGTTTTAAACATACTTTAAAATTTTTAAATGATAAATCTTTCCAATCAAATCTAGAGGTTTTATTTTATTAAGCATAGGACTAAAAGTTTCAATAATGTTGAAGAAATTGCTATGAAAAGAATAACTCTATTATTATGTATACGGATCGGTTTTTTTTTTTGATTATTTTTAACGCTTAAATAATGGAAAAATGCACAAAAATGTGTGTCATGTAAAAATAATACTTAACGGTTGGGCAAGTTTTTTTTTTTTTTTAATAAAGAAAACAAAAAATTATCTGTGTACCTAAAAAAGTAAGAAAAAAAACGCTTTATCTGTCCATACCTGAGTTTAACTCCCTTACTAAAGTCGACATCGCGTTTGTCACTGAATCAGCTGCCACTAAAAGATCGTTTCTTAAAGATCTTCCAACGGAACCTGGTGTACCATTTCCATTACTTCCCCCTAAAAAAAATTTTATAAAAATATTATAAAAACATTTAAAATATCAAATTTTATTTACCGATATTCATTGATGTTGATCCACCAAAAGCATTTCTAACATCACCACCAACACCCATCAAAGACTCATTTCCATGCATAACCCTATCGTTTCTAGGATCACTAGGACCATTTGAATTATTAATAACCATCATTGAAGGAACCATTCCTTGGTTATGTGGAATGTGAGAGTTTCTTTCGTTAGGAATTAAAGGATTTCCAACTCCTCCAATACCTTGACCAGTTGGGGACATCCCCATTGGCGTTTGAGGAGCACTTCGAGGTCCTTGATTTGTCGACGGAGCGGGACCCGGTGGAATCGGCGGTGATTTTGTACTACGCGGGGAAGAATTTGGAGTGCTTCGAGGTGAAGCTTGATGATTCTAATATTAAAAAATGTATTAATTTTTTTATATCCCAAAAAAATAATATTTACCTTTAACATTTTCATTAAACCTTCAAGTTGAATCATAAGTTGTCTTCTGGAGTCTTGTAACGTTGTTAAATGACTTTCTAATTCATCCTTGCGTAAACGTAAAGCTCTTAATTCGTTCATTAAAGCAGGATTTTCGCCTCCATGACCACTGGATTCCATTTCTTGCTGTCTTCTTTTAAAATTTAGCAATAAAATTTTTAGATTTTATGTAGTATTTATCAAAAACATCTTTTTACCTCAGTCTTGCGATTTCCCGCATTATTTCTCTATTTTTCGCCTCTAGTTGGGTGATTAATTCGCGTTGAGCTCGCGTAGAGTCCATTCCAAGACAAGCCTCAGATGGAACGCGCCCCTAATTTATTTAATTAATAAAAAAATAAATTTAGATAATTAACAAATTCTAATTTAATGATTTTCTAATAAATTGAAGAAACTATTTAGAAGTTGAACATTTAGAAAAGCTTAGGTTAAAATTCTATAAAAGCAATGAAGACAAAAAATGTTAATTTTTTGATATATTTTTTATTCTTCATTGCGAAAAAAGCTACTTACCGTATCTGGTGATAAGGAATTTTTTCTTAGGCCCGCTCGATGCTAAAGCAACAGCAAAAGCACACACATAAAAAAGAATCGTCGACATGGAACAAAAAGAAACGAGGAAATCAATCGAAAACAAATTAATTAAGTAATTTAACGACGAACATTAAGCAAAGTTAAACGTTCGCAGGGGAAACTATGTACTGAGTTAAAAACTTAGTTAAAAAAAACAAAGAAAAAGAAATGGGGATTAAAAAGAATCTAAGAAAAAGTAATTACATGCTCCTAGGAGCCAAAGAGTTTTGTTATTACCATGCCCGTTCGCTGTTCCTGCGCTAATTTTGCGGCGTATCTTGCTATTAACCTATGTTCATCATCTCGTGCGCTATCCAAGCTGCAAAAAATGATACTTAACTTACCATCACTATAATAAATATCTTAAGATTACCTTCTAACGGTTGAACGACTGTCTAAACTTCCCATTCCATCAAAATGGGAAAAATTGCCGTCTGGAAAACCATTGTGTGAAGGCAAAGGAGAGGCAGGCCTATAATAAAGTCTAAACTAAAAAAAAAAACTTAAAACCAAAACGTTTCTTACACAATGTGTTGTAGATTAAGTGGTTTTTCTGGTTGTTCAGGGAAACGTGGAAGATTATTTTTTGGTTTATCCGGAACACATCTGAATGATTTACGAAGTGACTGGCCGATAGTTTTACTAGGAGACTAAAACAATATTTAATAACTACATGTAATAATCATCGTTTAAACGAATCTTACAAAAGATGAATATTCTTTGACGTTATGTTCTAAAGCGTGAGGCCCGGAAACGCGACCTCTCCAAAAACAGTCTTGACACAGCGTATAATGCGGACATTTCTGGCAACGGTATCGAAAACCAGAAAAGTTTTCTCGTTGACATGCATCACATTGACAAGGATGAATTACTAAATAACGTATTGTTAAAAATAAATCCAATTATTATTTATCAACTTACTATTTTCAACTGCAGCTATTCTATGTAAAAGTGGTAACCACACTAAAGAAGGAGGTCCTGGATCTGACATCATTGTATCCAAAAAATCATTTACAGTTATTTTAGCGTTCTAAAATGAATTGAAAAATGAATACTTAAAAATAAATTGATATAATTTAAGATTTCTTACTGGACTAAAAATGGATGAAGCTAATGTATCAGTAAAATTAAACGTAGGTGACTCATACACTGCAGCAGGAAGAGCTAAAACTTCTTGTAAGTATTCGTTAAACCTCCAACTAAGAAGGAGACCGTTAGCATCAGAAATTTGAGAAAAAATATCTAGAAAGAACAGGAAATAAATGTAACATTTATAATAAGTCATATAGGAGTGACTCATAAGTAGAAAGCAAAATTGGAATCAAAAATATTGTTAAACAATATATCTAAATATCTATTTATAACATATTCAAATTAAATAAATTATTAAATAATTTCGGCTTTGATGGGGCTATATGGATTGAGTAGCCAATGCTGGTCCCAAGCCCGGGTAAAAGGAGGAGAGTAAAAACATGAAAATGCTGACAGAACTGTGGCATCATAATGGATCAATCGGATAATCGACGGCATATTGCATGAAAACGGAAAGAAAGACTTTCGAAAAGCAAAACACTCAGAATTGCGACCTGGAACAGTAACATCATGGAACAGAAAGATCAGGAAAACATTCTGGAAATAGAAAAACACTATATAGATGTAAGAAGAATCGGAAACAGCCGTCCCGGTATTGTGAGAAGATTTAATGAGTCTAGATCCACCAAAGATAACGATGTTGATATATTCGTGTTGATATATCAAATCAAGCGCTTCGCCTAGAAGCGACCCCAGCGATTTGAGAGTAAATGTCTTTTTATAAGAGAGTTTGTATCTTTACCAAGATATATAAAGGTGGCTACAAACTTGACAAGCATGCATGATCAATCTTTTTGTACAAGCATGTAAAATTTCCCTTCGACACCACACGATACAAGTATGCTTGAACAAGCGTCAGTTTGCGCTTGGACTATTGCGAGCTCGGACGACGATGCGCTCGCACTGGCTGCTTTTTGCCTTGTCCATAAGAGAAAAACGCGGAAGAAGAAACGAGATATATGGTGTAAAGAGTGGTTATTGAAAAGAAAAACCTACTCTCATGCTCTCTATTTAAATGCGATAACGGATTATAAACATTAAACTTATAACTAATTCTAATAACTAATGTCATCCTGGATTGGATTCTTAACGATTTATAAACATTTTTACTTCGATATAGGTATCTTTCTTTTTAGCAAAACTTGTTCATGTAACAATAATCATATATTATACAACAAGACGATCGAAAATACTCGATAATACGAGACGTATTGCCTGAAACACCACGAGATCGAAGATCGAGTAGATGGCTAGACTATTTCATGAATTTTTTGATACAAAAAATTGATATTCTTCAATGTTAAGAATATGATAGACTTCATTCGAGAATACTTCTATTCTTAAAACAAAAAAATATTTTAAGAAATACATTCAAGAATAAATTTTTCTTGATAGTCAAGAATAATGTCCCTCAGTGCGTGATCTCAGATTGCGACCCCTACTATTATTGGCAAATATTTATAATATTATTTATAATATTTATAATATTTCATAAATTTATTTATGAAATATTATAAATGCATTTATTTATAATATTTCATAAATTTATTTATGAAATATTATAAATGCATTTATTTATAATATTTCATAAATTAAAGAAAACCTCCCTACGATATTTTTAGGCTGAAAAATCCTTACACGTGGTGAGAAATCCCTAAGTGTGGCCACACGTCAAGCAGTGTGCTTGGTACACACGTGCGGTAATTAAAATTCAATCCATTATCAAGCAAATTGCACAAGCAAAATGTTTGCGCAAAATTATCCTACAAACGCTAAAGCATACTTGTACAAAAAGATTGAACGTGCATACTTGTCAAGTTTGTAGTTACGTGTGTAGCCACCTTAAGGAACGATTTCACCCTAAAATCGCCGAGGTCGCTTGCGGACGAGGCGCAAGAATCGTCTAAATCTGACGTGTTTCTCATTAATAAAATATAAAAACCAGCGCCTTGCCAGCAAGCGACCTCGGCGAATGGCAGTAAATATCTTCTTATAAAAGAGTTTGTATCTTAACCAAGATGAGTAAGAAACGATTTCGCCTCAAATCGTCAAGGTCACTTGCGGGCTAGGCGCTAGATCCACCAAAGACAGCGATGTCGTGTTGATTTATCAATACTAGCGCCTCGCCCGCAAGCGACCTCGGCGATTTGAGAATAAACGTCTTCTTATTAAAGAGTTTCTATCTTAGCCAAGATGTATAAGGAATGATTTCGCCTCTCATCGCCGAGGTTGCTTGCGGGTGAGGTGCTAGAATCGTCTAAAGCTGACGTGTTTCTTGTTAATAAAATATAAAAACCAGCGCCTTGCCCACAATCAACCTCGGCGATATGAAGGTAAATATCTTCTTATTAAAGAGTTTGTATCTTAACCAAGATGAGTAAGGAACGATTTCGCCTCAAATGGTCGAGGTCGCTTGCGCGCTAGATCCACCAAAGATGACGATGTCGTGTTGATTTATCAAATCCAGCGCCTCGCCCGCAAGCGACCTCGGCGATTTGAGAATAAATGTCTTCTTATTAAAGAGTTTCTATCTTAGCCAAGATGTATAAGGAATGATTTCGCCTCTCACCGCCGAGGTTGCTTGCAGGCGAGGTGCTAGAATCATCCAAAGCTGACGTGTTTATTAATAAAATATAAAAACCAGCGCCTCGCCCACAAGCAACCTCAGCGATATGAAGGTAAATATTTTCTTATTAAAGAGTTTGTATCTTAACCAAGATGTGTAAGGAACGATTTCGCCTCCAATCGCCGTGGTCGCTAGCAGGCGAAGCGCTAAATCCACCAAAGATGGTGGTGTCGTGTTAATTTATTAAATCCAAACACCTCGCCTGCAAGCGATCTCGGCGATTTGAGAGTAAATATCTTTTTATAAGAGAGTCTGTATCTTAATCAAGATGAATCATTTCACCTCTAATCGCCGAGGTTGCTTGCAGGCGAGGTGCTAGAATCATCCAAAGCTGACGTGTCTCTTATTAATAAAATATAAAAACCAGCCCCTCGCCCACAAGCAACCTCAGCGATATGAAGGTAAATATTTTCTTATTAAAGAGTTGGTATCTTAACCAAGATGTGTAAGGAACGATTTCGCCTCCAATCGCCGTGGTCGCTAGCAGGCGAGGCGCTAAATCCACCAAAGATAGTGATGTCGTGTTAATTTATCAAATACAACACCTCGCCTGCAAGCGATCTCGGCGATTTGAGAGTAAATATCTTTTTATAAGAGAATTTGTATCTTTACCAAGATATATAAGGAACAATTTCGCCTCAAATCGTCGAGGTCGCTCGCGGGCGAGACGCTAGAATCCTTTAAAGATGATGATTGATAGTGGGATACTAATATTGATATGCGCTCATGACAACACATAGGACTAAATTTGGGAAATTTAACGATATCTATCAAATCCAATCATTCAATATTCCAATTTTGTATCTCCTAAAAATTTGAATTTATTGAAAAACTTTGTATAAGAATTAAAATCATCTAAAATCGCTTAAAATCATTAAAACATTTGAAAGTAATTGATTTCAATTTTGCTATTTACCTTTGATGTACTCTACAGGTCTTTCAGGTTTTTTTAGTAGGACTTTAACAGTCGATAAATCTTTTAAAAAGTAACACAAAAACTTCAAATTAACATAAGTCGACAAGCGCTTTACTTTAGAGATACAGGGTGTTCAAATTAATTTTTTTAAAACCATACACAAATTTGGTATATGGAGATTTTTTGGTACATATAAGAAAGAGGATTATGGAGTCCGTTTATTATAGCCGGTAGAGGGCGCTCTGTAACGTATTCTTTATGGATTTTTGAATAACAAACACTTGTACAAACACAGAAGGATGCGGACGTCTTCTATTTGGATATCTTCTCCTATACTATCAGGCTACCTCTGCTGAATTTCCGTTTGGAAATCCATAAATTTTGATAAGAGTACCCTTTTGGTTCAGAAAAGTACAGAGAATAAGAATTTTTATTTAAAAGTTATAGTTATTTTAATCCGTAAAGAATACGTTACAGAGCGCCCTCTGCCGGCGATAGTAAAACGAACTTCATAATCGTTTTTCTCATGCCAAAAAACCTCTGTATACCAAATTTTAATAGAATCAGTTGAAATACACATATAATATTAAAAAGAAACAATTTAATAATTTAATTTCAACACCCTGTATCTCCAAAACATGGCATATGTATTTTTTGTGTTAATTTTAAAAGATCTATCAACTGTTAAAGTTCTGCTACAAGAATCTGAAACACCCTGTATATTACTAATATTTACATCTCAATTTGTCCATTAACTTTCCAGCGCAAAGAGTAGCCAAAGCAACTTTGATGGAAAATACTCTTATTTTCCCAACATTATCTCTAAAAAAAAATAATAAAAATCCAAATCAAATAATGAATAATCCCATAAAAAAAGTTTTCCTTACACAGTAGCATAAGCCGCCAATAACCAATTTAACAATAAACTCGAACAAACATCAACATGAGCCTGTTGAGTTGGAGGAGCCCTTTTATTTAAACTATGATACAATGAACACAATAAAGTCTCTAATCGGGCTACACTCAATTCAGAGCTAGGCTCCAAAGCATGTAAACCTTGTTCGCGGAACGCTTCGATTACATTCCATATATCTAAAGCATGAACTAAAAATAAAATTAATTATTAATCATTTAATTTAAAAAGAAAATTACGGTTTACTTACGACTGACTTTTTTTTGTATAAACCTTAATTTGGTGGCCGTACGATAAGAAGCAAATCGAATCAAATCAAAATTATGAGAACTCATTTCGTGGACCAAAGCTAATCGGTGATCCGATGTACTTGAAATAGTATCTGTTCCTTGCATTTTCTAATAATAAATAAAAAGAAATGATTAGAAATTAAATCAACAATGAATTGATAAAGATATTTCGATATAAAGAGAATGATTTAATATTGTTTAAATAGGTTAATTAACGTAAACACATAAATTAGTTTTTTATGTTCTTGTTATTGCTCTAAATTAATGTTTATTAAATTGATTGACGAAATAAATATTATCTGTTTATAAGGAATAAGTAACGATCGCTTTATAATCGGTATTTTTTGCTCCTTTTTTTTTGGTTATGTTTTGTGTTGGAAAAAAAGAATCAAAATAGAATTGAGGTTATGAAAAAAAAATTACTTACAACTTTTTTTTCTATAAAATGTTGAATAATACAAATAGGAATGAAGTCGTTTCAATTTGGGTTTGGTTTTTCTAGGGAAGTAGCAGCAGGACGTGACCTGCGCTCGCCATTTTCTTTGCTAACCTGCCCCCTTCTTCGGTGGTTGATTCTTTTGCAGGAGAGAGAGAAAAAAAAGGATTAACCCAATTTGCAATAAAAAAATGATTTCCGAAACGTCTTTTTCTTAAATTTCGTTTTTTTTTGAGTTGAAATTAAAATATTAATCGATGATTAATAATTGTTTTAGGGTTCATTGTACTGGATTCATTTTAGATCGACCGAATTTCTGGTGTCGGAATCACACCAAAATGGCCCGTATTGATTTATTTACAATAGAGAAACCCGGAACGAGGTTGACGATAAATAGATGATAATAAACGGACGCGATGATTTCAGTGCTTGTAACTTTTGCAAATGTTTGCAAAATACAAAAGGTTTCGTTCAAATAGATCGGGTTGCCAAAAATGTTCGGTTCCCCTTTGGGTCCGCGTTTTATATTTTTTTCTCTTTCGTCCCGTTTCGTGAGTCGCCCGCGAATCTCGGGCATTCGTCCAGATTTTCAGAACAAACGGATACGTTGAAAATTTTCTAAATTTAAAATCAATATGTGCAATAGCCTCTACATCACGTCATCAAGTTTATTTTCGACTTTTTCAAAGCGTAGGATTGTTATTAACTCATTAATTAATGCGTTTATTCAAATATCATGTTCTGACCTACACCTTTCAAAAAAATCAACATGATTAATAATCAAAATAATTTTACATATACCTTTGGATGTTGTTGTCAAAAAAGGAATTTTAATTTGGATTTAGTTTTAACGAATAATTAAAAAGTATTTTTAGATTTTAATAATAATTTTTGATAAAAGACACAATTGTGTTTATGCAATAACTATGTGACATAAAATAACAGCGTGGAAAATTGATAGTTTTGGCAAGAATTCTTCATTATGACGTATTCGTGACGTATGATGTTACAAAATGCAGTTTGTTCGGTTCATTTGACGTAGAATATGAACATCAAAGAGGTTTTATAGATGAAATAATTCAAAATAACTATTTACATGATAATAAAATACATTTTCATATTTTCAAGCCTTCATTTCATTTATGATAAAATAATGATTATATGTTTGTGCTAAATATAAAAATAATTTTGAAAACTACTTCAAAATTTGTTGAAGATGTTGCGATTGCGACCTTATTTCCAAGTTGAAAATCCGCAATACGCGAAGTAATGCAATTGGAAGAAGGTGGAAGCAGCACTACCTTGGACGCTTATCGTCATAAGCCTTATCTCAGAAAGTTTATGATGCCATTTGCAAAGATTTTAGCCTGGACGAGTTGCTATAGTGTTGCAAAAGTGCGGAAATTTACTCCAAAATCGTACTCAAGCGGCAAGACAATCCTGCATATAGCAGTATGTAGCTTTAATGTTGGGGTGACTTGAAGCAGCACTACCTTGGACGCTTATCGTCATAAGCCTTATCTCAGAAAGTTTATGATGCCATTTGCAAAGTTTTTAGCCTGGTCAAGCGGCAAGACAATCCTGAATATAACAGTATGTAGCTTTAATGTTGGGGTGACTTGACTAGCGTTTTACAGATTATGAATATTCGCGAACGAATCAAGTACATTATGCGTTCAATATTAGATGCCGTAAAAGAGGCGCGCTCCAGTAAACGCTCTTTGAGTACAAAAATTGTAGAAAAATATGCAAACCTAGAGGTGAAAATTTCAGAAGCGACTTGCGATCCTCGTCAAACTCGTCAACGTGAATCCTCCAAGCGTTTTCTCGGCTTTCCAATTAGCCTCCTTCCCTATAGACTAAAGTTATTTACATATTTACAAATTATAAAATGCCCCGTTGACGCATGTCTAGTATTTTTTGCTTAAAAAAACTAGATTGCAAATGATCTTCTAAATTTTTGAGGTGTTCAAATGCAATGTAGTCTTCATTTGCAAAAGCTTTTATCGTTAATTACTATTTACTTTCTTATGAGCATGATATAATTCTCAAGGAATCACTCTTTAATTGTAAATCCCACCAAGTCCGTTGCTATTATTTTTGCAAGACCACAAGTCTGAACGCAACTTAAAAATGAACTTAATTTGGTTTTGGGAGATAGGCTGTGATATTGAGTTCTGTGATAATGCTCGCGATTTGGGACTTAGATTCTGAGTTGAGATTTGAGCAGCATGTAGGAAAATGTATTAGAATAGCTTTTGCTAATCTAAAGAAACTGTACGGTAGCAGATCAGTTCTCGATCAAGCCAACCGTATAATGTTATGTGATGCCCTGGTTTTGTCGCATTTTAACTATGGTAGCGTGGTGTATGGCCCTTGTTTATCTGCGACTGTCGCTGCAAGGATACAAAGAGTCCAAAATGCGTGTGTGAGGTTTGTGTGTTGTTTGTCCATTTTATTTATATAGTAGGATCGAATTCCGTAAAGATGCTCACACTGTGTTAATTTGCGAAATAAAAATTTGATTGCACCTGCGATACATAAACTACTCTGTATGAAAGATTATTTGCCAAGTAATAAGGTTTCTTTTTTATAAAGCATGTCCTATACCTATAGTCCTATAAATAACTTGATAACTATTGCAAATAGGTCCTGTAAATATTGTCCTATAAATAACTTGATAACTATTGCAAATAGGTATAGGACATGCTTTATAAAAAAGAAACCTTATTACTTGGCGAATAATTTAAGAAAAAAAAATATTAGGCATTCCATTTAAAAAAAATGAGATATAGCTATTTCATGTTTCTGGTATTGAGTACAATATTACGAACACCCTGTAGAAGGTTACCAGATTTTTATAGGGGCATGAAGTTACTGTAACTATGCATTAATAACCTACAAAAAATTTGCTTTGTAGGGTCTTAAATAAATTGGGTATGCTTTCTTTTATAGACACGTGCAGACGGAGATTTTTTCACAAAATGTTGAATATTTCAAAAACGGTAAAATTTTGGTATAGGTAATGCTTAACAAAAAGTATGTCGAATTTTAGGGGTAATTCATAAATGTAATAAAATATGGGGTATTCCATTTAAATTTTCGAAGTTGTCCCTTGTACTTTGTTTTTACAACACCCTGGATAAACAAAAATATTTTTAGGTTATGCACCTTCGAACACCAAAGAACTTTATATATAAACATTTTCTTCTAGCGACACCCTGTAAGGAGATATCGTCCGATATCGCACTAATTGGACACCCGGTATATTATTATATGTAGTAATTGTGTTGCTGCTTTCAACAGTGTCTCGAGATCTTCTTCCTCTTCTGGTGCAGGATCATGTTCAATCATATTTTCAATCACATCGCCAATGTTCAAACTCATCTCTTCTGTTGCTGCAATATCGTCGATTTGAACATAATTTCCAAGATTTTCTTGTGTTATGTTTGCATTTGAACTATCGTAGCTTTTTTGAAGCAATTTTGTATCGTTGCTAACGAAACTTTATTCCAGGCTGTTGTAATGTAATAAAGTGTTTCTAAAACATTTATGGACTTTGCTAACTCTGAAGCAGATCTGACTTAATCCATTTTTAATAAAATGTGCATAAGTAGTACCCTCCATAATAGAATTTAAAATTCAGTATGATTCCCTGGTCTAGTGGTTGACATGCTGATGTAGTATTGGGAGGTAAAAAGATAACTTTTATGTTTTGTAGCCCAACCCTGCGTTGTCCAAAAATAATAAAATTTTTCGTTTTTTGCTGACAATTTTTCTATCAAATTGGAGCAACATAATATCTCGCGTCATCCATGCTTTAATATTAAATTTCCACATTGCCAGTAAATCTTTCAGTGCTACATTTTTAAATGCCCCAGGTCGGGCCGACTTTCCAATCACCAGCAAATCTTCTTTTTGCCATATTAGCATAAAGTAAAATTGTAAACCTTTCCTTGGAATGTTTTCCACCGCTACATTTTTCAGACTTAGATGCAAGTGTTTTGTTCGGTAAAGCTTTGAAGAAAAGGCCAGTTTTGTCGTTGAACACATCTTCTGGCCGATACCCAAGGAGTAGCGCAGGCAACTTATTGCTAAATCGATTTACGTCGTCTTGATTGGCATCAACTTAATCCGGAAATGCTCTTAAAAGTTTACGGGTGTCTCTTACTCCATCTTTCCAGCCAACCATTGGATGCCCGAAAGTTGCCAACATGTTTCTTTTCCATTTTCAACTTCCATTTTTTCTCGCGAACTAAGAAGTTTTTTACTAGGCGCCATTTCAAAAATCTCTAGCACTCACTATTTGCACAACAAAAAGAAAATAAGCAGTAAAGCAAGCAGCAGTCGTACAGAAACTACTAAAACGAACGGAAATAGGTAATTCCCCGATTTCAATATACTTACATTATTTGCTCCCGCCGGTCCGTTGTCCCGTTGTTAAAGGTTCGCGTCCCGTTAAGGGAGGTCCCAAAATTTTTTTCAACTAAGAAAATTTGTCCGCGTCCGGTCCTGCCCGCGAACCTCTTCAGCGCATTCATGCAGAGTTACCTTCCTGGCTCTCTTTGGTCGCTCTGTAAATTGTTTGTAAGCCTCATTAGGTATTTGACTATTAACCCCTTGTGTACCATGTAACCTATAGTGGATACATGCTATGTGTAGGGCAAAATCCCATTATAACCCCACGTGGATACATGATTTATTTAGGTGTGTAACCAGTACATGAGACATTATAAGGTAGATTTTCAGTCTGGTACACAAGCAGTTAACAATAAATAGTATAAGATTGCCTAATTAACTAGTTCATTTTGAATTTGTTTAATGAACACCTTACATTGACTTAGTTTTTATTTTAATTGGTTGTAAGAAGAGATTTTAAATAATTCAAAATTATTTAATTGTGATCTCAACAATACAAGAAACAACATTTATTAAAATAACCCTTTCAAACTAAACCACATAAATTTTCTTTCAAACATCTTCACTTTCATTAAAACAAAAAGCAACCCATTTTATCACTCCGCATAACTCTTTGTAGACCTTTCAAAGTTATTTAAAGTTTTTTCAAGAGTCTACAAAAAAATAATATTTCATTTACCGTATCCTCCTTTTAATTATTTTACCTCTATGAATCCGTGATATTTATGTTTATTAACAACAATACATGCCGCTATAATATCGTAAAGCATTTCCAATTGGCCGACAGGCAAATTTGCTGAAGTTTCGTGCGCCGTTCTCTTCCACAAATTAAAAATATCAACCGTTTTCGGATTGTTTAAATCTTGACAAAGTTTTGTTGTACTTTCAAATTCAAAGAATGATTTAGGTTCTTTTTTAACGATAGTCTCCAAAAATGTACCAACACTTCCTTCGGAAGCAACCCTACTGGGAATTTTACCAATAAAATTTTCATCTTGGAAAACCGAGCAATCAATCATATCGATTAGAGTCGTGTTTTTTATGTTTTTTGATCTCCCCCGATTTTTATTTAAATCGGTTAAAGAACACCGTGAATCTAGTGATGTTATATCTGAACGGTGTTCAATAATTGTAGAGGTCGTTGAAAATGCTTTTTTACATTTACATTTATAATTGGCTTCTAGATCATCTGAAAATCGGTCGATTTTTCTTTTTTTAATATGGACGTTTTGATGACACCGATTTGATTTTCTTTTTAAATTGTTGCATTTATGTGATATATCTTTCAAACATATTTGATGCTTTTTGTGTCGCACTCCAATTTCCCTTTTACATTTTTGAATTGGAATGGTTTCTTTGATATTTTCGTTAGGAGTTTCCTTTTTTAAAATTGTTGCAACGCTCGTTTCAGAGTTTCCAAAAAATAGAGGCGCAAAGAAATTTTCGCGCTCCTCTACATTTGGATCATCAATTTTTATTACTATGCTACTGTTATTATAGAAATAATTTTGTAACTAAAAAATTAAATTTGTAATAATTTAATTTATTCGATTTATAACTCACCATTAATGGCAGCTCTTCGTTACAGGTTGCAATTAATAAAAGGGGAATTCCCGGATGTAAATCTTCTAACATTGTTGTTAAACTTAATTGAATACTTGATTCTATCATATCCCACCAATCATCAACTCTTGATAGAACTAAAATTGATGGTAAATTTTGACGAGCGTTTTTTATATTCGTCTAAAAAAAATGTTTTTCAACAAAAATGATTTATTATTTTTTAATAAACCTCAAATAAAGCTGGGATATCTAACATATAACAAGGAATATGTTCTAAAAATTGAAGAATTGCAGGAATTATATGAACAATTAATCCTTGTTGATTTGATCCTTTTAAAACCAATCGCCCAACATATCTTTCATTACCTATAAGAAACCTAAACAATTTCTTAATAAACAAACTTTAAAAATAATTTTAAATTTACTTTTTAAAAGGCTGAGTAAATTGCGGTAATAAAATATTAATATATTTAATAATCTTATCCAATTGCCTCTGAAGAAGTGGTTTTATGAAAGGACTCAATTTTCGCGCTCTATAATTTCCCAATCGTTGCGCTGTTGGAACTAAATTCATTCTTGCATTTAAAAAATCAATTTCTTGAACCTAATAATTAATTTCTTCAGCAAAAAGGAATCGTTTCTCATCAATCGTTTTATTTACCACAAGATTATAAATATTTATTTTCATTTTCGTTCCAATTAAACGAGGTTTATGAACATCCGGGTATTCCCGTTTTAACGAGCAAAGCACTGCTTCTGCACATAAAGCTTGAAGATCTGAACCACAACACCCAGAAGTCGATTCAGCGATTTTATATAAAAGCTCATTAGAAGGTTTATAAGTCCATGAATACGTATGAACCTAAAGAAAAGTATCAGCATAAATAATTTTTTTTATTTCTCTTACTTGTAATATTTCTTTTCTAGCATTAACTGAAGGCAAAGGAAAATAAATTTCTCTATCAAACCGTCCTGGTCGTCTTAATGCGGGGTCTAACGCATCGATTCTATTCGTTGCGCCAATTACAACAACTCCAGGTTTATTATCTAAACCATCCATTAATGTTAAAAGTGTTGCAACAATGCTGCAATGATTTTGATCATTTTGTTGACAACGAACGGGCGCCAACCCGTCCAATTCATCGAAGAAAATAATCGATGGGCGAGTTTTGTTCGCTTGAAGAAATAATTCGCTCAATTTCCGCTCGGATTCTCCGAACCATTTATCTAAAATATCGGCACCTTTACGTTGGTAAAATGTTACCTTCCCATTTCCTACTCGGCTTAATTCCGTTGATAATGCGCCGGCGACTAAAGTTTTTCCAGTTCCTGAAATAATAATTTAATAAAATGATGATAAAAAAATTAATAATAAATGAATAAACCTGGTGGCCCGTAAAAAAGTACTCCACGCGGTGCTTTAACGCAAAAATGCTTATATAAGTCTTCATAAAGTAAAGGAAATATGATTATTTCTCTTAGGAGTTGGATGTGAGTGGAGAGGCCGCCCACTTTTGAAAAATCCGGAAGGGTATTGCTGTTTCTGAGGCATAAACGACGATTGGTATCTTGAGCCGTTACTTGTTGATTTATATCCCCCACCCTCTTCATTGATTAAAAAATTGAATACAAAAAATTGTAAAAAATTTGAAGAATTATTGAGATTTTGTACAATCAAATTTTAATACGTCCCGGTTATTTTGACGTTAAGATGTCATTTTATTGTTATTTTACAAGGCAACCGTTTCTTCGTTGCCATTAGGATTCAATTACTAAAAAAAAAAGTGTGGTGTTAATTTACTTTAATCTTCTTCCTTTATTCTGGGGTATTTTTTTTGTTTCTTGTCATTTCTTTCTCAGCAAACAAAATGATATACCATGTTATGGGTTCTTTAATAATTAAATAAAAACACTCTGGAGCTGAACCAAAAAGATGTCAAGTAATACAACAAATGGACAATTTAATTGTAGAAAAGTAGAGGAAAGTAAATCTTGGGATCTTTGGACTCATATGGGATTTAACTCTGGAATTTCTTGGATATAATTGGACTTATTTGTGTTGCGTCAGTTTCAGATTAAGACCTGAAATATAAAAAATGTTAATATATAGGATAATAATTAGAAATGAAGATTAAAAAATAAATTTGTAAAATATCTTTATTTCTCTAAAAGTAGTAATAAATGTTATAAAAGATTAAAGTAATTTTTACCAGAATGTTGTGTGTGGTGGTGTGTAGTTAATAACTAGCTCCTATTCTCATTGTAACAATGATATCTCGACCAGTACTCGGTTTTTATTTTATCTCAAAAAAAATATTTTAGACACCATTCGTTATTATTTTCTCGTATTCTTTAAAAATTCAATTTTACCGTCCGCTTTAACCATTAACAATATAAACCTACGTGTACTTTATAGGCAATCTTGTTATTAATTATTTACAAGGTTTTCCGAATAAGGACCGGAGACAAGGAAATAGGACGAGGAAGAGAAGAACGGCGACTGAACAAAAAAATAAATAAAAACGTAGAAATTATATCAATCTTTACGCAATATGAATTTTTACATCATAAAAAATACCTATTCAAAAAGAAAAAGACATCATTTTGTATAATTTTTTAACATCAACAATGTAAAAGAGGTACTTAAAGTAAAAACTTATCATCAATATTCATCCGCTTAAGATTAAAAAAAAAAACTTTGACCACTTCAGCAGGATTCTTTTCTTCTTTCTGAAAATGTAGGAAAAATTCACGATGTATATACATTTGGTCACTTATCTATGTCGATTCGCATTCGTAATCTTTTCGGTGAAGGTTCGTCAATTTCTTCTTCTAAACCAGGAAGGTGAATTTTCGTTTCTGATGCTTCAAACGGCTGAAATAAAAAGAGAAAGAAAATTCATTAATAACCGATTTTTTAGGTTATTAACTTTTTTTCTTGCGTTATCTAAAATCTTACTTATTAAATAACCTTTTTTTACGTGCAAAAAAAATTATTTATTTGTTAATAAATTAGAAACCCAGAATTTGTATTTAAAAAAAAAACCGAAAAATATAAGGTGTTTTTATAACAGAACTTTTAAGACTCAATAGAACTTTTAAGTAAATTGTGAATAAAATATGATATCCTGGAAACGAAATCACCCCTGTACCCTCCCTAGAGTTGATGCGCTATCATTTACTATGATTTAATGATATTCATTTAATGATATTTATGAAGTTATATAAAAGTTCTATGGAGAGATTGAGAAAAACCGAAACATTCTGTATAAAATAAACATGGGATTAGTTGGTGTGAGGATTAGCAAAATAAACTAATAAACACATACCTGGGCATCAATTCCCTTAGTAGCAGGCTACATAATACGAAAGAAGTATGTGTTAGTCATCAAATGCCTCTAGCAAAATTTATTAAAAAAAGATTTTATCTTTTCAATCATTTCCAAAACAAACGCTTAATAACAAACACTTAAAAGAGACATAAAAAAAGATAAAATCCTTTTTTAATTTTTTTATAAACAATTTTTTACAAATTAAACGCAATGTTTGCTCTGTATGTACATAAAAAAAATGAGATCGAAAAGACAAAATATTTTTAAATTTTTTTATTATCAACTTACTTTTACATCGGTTCCAAGCGGGCCGCAGCCTTCCGAACGCATTTTGCTTTTCACCTTTTTCAAACGATCCGCGTTCACCATCGACAGCGTAATTCCTTTCTTATTTGGTTGGTACTGCAATTCAGGTGGCAGAAACACTCGAGAATTGCTCAGATCGACTTGAGGAACCCAGTACATTGTTGGAACTCTTGTGTCCGTCGGGAAATTTTTCATGTCGTAATTAACGGTTTTCGTTAAAAGTAAACCGGAAGACAAATCACAGAGTGCCCATAATTTCTAAAATCAAAAATAAAAATAAACTCATTTTCATCAAATTAAGTTGGCATTATTAAGTAGATGTCTTAATTAATAAGCCATGCTGAGAGTCATTCACATTTAATGATGGGCAGAAATATTTATCTACCCACTCTTTTACGTGGAATTTACCCACTCGCACTAGGGTATTTATTATTAAGTTACAATAGATCTTATAGGTCGCGGTAACGAGAGGGGCCGCCCTCCTCAGCCCGGCAGCAATAATAATAATAATAATAGGGTATTTATTTGTGTGACGCGGTAGGTACAGGTGTACTGAGAACAAACAAGTTAGAACTGGAATCTTCGCATTTTAATTGGCGCAAAGGGTGGGGTGGCAAACATTCAGTAATTTATAAATACTGCAGTAAGGAGCACTTCGCAAAAGTCAATAAAATGACGATACACATACATTTAACCAATGTGTTAAGTGGCCAGTGGAAATTAAAAGGCACATTCAATCAAAACTTCCCAAAATTTCGCAACGAATTACGATATCGATGAAATTACCACTTCAAATGATGTTGCATCTCCATCTGCTCGAGAACCAACAGCTGATAGCCCTTGTGAACCTCAATTAATACCAGATTCAGACCTCTCTCTGTGTCCTCCACCATTGGCCAGTTCGTTTGTATCATCTACTTAGATCCAGAACCATGGAATATTTTGCTGACAGAGAGATCCCAAAGCGTGATGTGGTAAGTAACTTGGTTAATGAAGCTTTTTAGTAATATCAATGTCATATAAGAGACTTGTTCCCCTCTATCTATGGTTGGACACCCACAGTGGGAGAAATTTTTTAAAATGCTTAGACCATCCTTAGAACTTTTTGAATACGAATAGAGGATATGAAAAGTATAATTGATCAGCAACTGAAACAGGCTGAAATTCTTCATTTGCAATGACATGGATGGAGTAATTTACGAAATGAGGACATAATACATTTTGTGATATCAAACCTGAAAAGTGTTTGTGGATTTTATTTCTACATGGTCTAACAAACACACAGCAGAATATCTTAAGAGTGAAATAAAGATTGTTGATAAATTTGGCGCCGAAAAGTTCCTTGTGGGAATTGAAGACAATGCTGCTAATATCAGGTTGCATGGCTCATACTCTTCATCTTCTCTGCAAAAATATCTTAATTTTCCACCTACACAGAAGTTAATAACAATCTTATCTTTTCTACTTGTTTACTTGGAAATAAGCAAAACGAAGGAGTATAAACTTAGTTTGAAACTACCATATAAAACGCGCTGGGGAAGCCATCTCTACTGCATGGAAAGCTTATTCAACAAAGTCAGTCTTCAAACTTTACTTGTTCACGGAAAGGCAACGTCGATGACACTCCCTAGGCGCAAGTACAACAAATTCGTGACATTCTGGATCCTATTGTTTCACTAATTACTATTGTTTATTAGTTACTGTGGCTGTATTCAGTGTGAGTGAACATTAATTTATCAATCTATAACAACAATGTCTAAAGTGATATCGTGTCTTGTGTCCCAGTGGATAAAAAGTTATCCCGAACTAAATTTAAATAATAAGGAATTATTTTGTAAAGCTTGTGCCAAAGTTGTAAGTATTTTTTTAAAAATTATGTCGTAACGTTTTAACCAAAGATTTAAGTTAAAAATTAGAGCTTTCAGCGGAGTTGTCAATGGTTTGATGACAACGAAATTGTATTTCTCATAGATTTTTACACTAGGAGTTAAAAAAATTGAAAACTGTTAAATTAAAACTAAATAAAACTATATTAAATTTGATGTCCCATTTTCTTGGGATGTTTTTCATATGTTTCTAGACAATTAAAAATACGAATCTGTTTTATAGTCTCAGATTTAAATTTTTAATCTGTTAGAGTATCTATGGCTAACTTTTTTAATTATTCTTTTTTAAGATAACGTGTGAGAGGAAGTCTCAAATAGAACAACATGTGAAAACTGTAAAACATATACAAAAATGTGATAGAAATAGATTGATAACAACGATAAGAAAAGTATATTTTTGCATATTTCCACATATTTTTGCATATTTCGAATAAAAAGTTTGCATATTTCCTATAATTTGATTGCATAAAAATCCGAGCTTTACTAATAACTACCCTAGAATCAAACACCTTGATGATCCACAAAGTGAACAAAAAATTATATGTAGCATTTCAAATTTTTACACATCTAAGGACAAGGAAGATGGAAGAACTCAAAAAGTAATTTAATCGCAAGGCATTTGCTACAAGTCGAATTAGACGCAATGGAGTTTATACACAACCTATCCCAGTAAATGCACTTGGATGTAATGGCAGATTTGGCAAATTATAAATCAAATGATGGATTGTGGGCAAAAAGATTCCTGAGGACCAGTCTAGTAAAGATGAATCCAGTTACATGGTGGAAGGACCTGGGTAGCAGCTTCAATCTGAGTAAGATTAGCGGCCACAGAACAGGCATTCAGCACATTTTCGTGGATACATAGCAAGAAAAGGAATAGGCTGGAAACAGAGAGGGGTGGAAAAATTACTTTTATTGCCCATAATTGGAAATTCACCAATTCTGAAGAAGTAACAGAAACGGGGGAACAAACAAAGGCAACTACAAACGAACCCATCGATATTTACAAAAAGAATATTTACCCACATTGTATAAAAATGAATTACTTACATAATTAATACTATCATCGTCAGGTCTCAAAGCATCCTTGTGATTTTTCATCCGTTCGATTAAGTTTTTATAAAATCCATAGCTAAAATATTCTGTTTTGGTGACGAGAGGTTCCAAAATGAACCAAAGACATTGTTTGGCGCGAGTTAAATCCGCAACGTCATCCCAACGGGAAAGTCCCGGATCGTGGCCCAAAACTGGTATGGCAAAAGCTAACATATAATCAGGTAATATATGGGGAAGTTGACTCATAGCTTTATCTACTTGTCCTCCACCCATCGTTAACGTTTTCACGTAATCTCTTCGTTTATTTATATCCGTAATCATGTTATTTTTAATTTGGGTACGTAGCCGGCTATCTGGTTCTTTTCCTGCTAGAGCGTAATAACCCATAAAATCTAATGGGAGACATTTATTTGGTAAACCTCGTCCTAAACCTTTATGAAGTTTTGATGAAAAAATTTCTCGAACTTGTTTTACTTCATCACACATTAATTGAGAGAGGTTATAGAATTGTTCGACTGTGTATTGATCACCAACACCCTTCTGTTCGCAAACTTTTAACATAGCACAACCAGCAGATAATCTTAACCAAGACATTTCAGCTTGAGATAATCTTCCGCTTTGCAACAAATCACCTTTATGCGCAATAAACGCGTTCAACATCCGAAAAGTTTTCTGTGCGGACGCCGTATCTTGTTTCAAACCCAACAACCATCTCGCCATCGCTTTCAATCCTTCAATCTTACAACGAGTTTCTTCCGGGAGCTCCTCTTCAGGACACCATTGCTCGGAATCGTGATTATTGTTTTCCGTTTGACGTGCTTCTTTTACCAGTAACTCTTTAACAATCTTTCTTGAGACGATGTTTTTGATTTGCACTTTGCATTTTTCGGGAACATTGAAAGCTATGTGGCCTAAGGTGACTATAGCGGTACGATAATTAGGTTTATCAGGACAGAGGTTAGTTTTAGCTGTTTCAAGAATCGCTGGGAAAAGAGAATCGTGTAGTTCGGGCATGTTTACAAATATGCAACGTATCGCCCCTTTTGCCTGTTTTGGAGTGCCTGATTCAGCGAAATTTTTACAAATTGGTGCCAACTGATCCATTAAATCTGGAAATTGTTCATCTATAAACAAACATATAAAATTAATTAATAAAATTACCAAATACAATTCTCAAATTTAATACAGTGAAATTCCTCTAATTCGAACTTCTTTTCGTTTCAAATGTGTTTTTATTTTTCTATGCCGAATTTCATTAACTCGATTTTTTTTTTAACTCGAACTGCACTACGACCATACGCGGACACCTGTATACTACCAGTATACGGGTGTCCCGTATCTTACGCAACAGAGCATTATACGGTTGTAGGATACATTATTCTGAAGCGATCTTTCTAATAACATTTTTCCGAAATGTTCATAATAACCGCACGTGAACTGTTTAAAGTCGTCCAATAGCGATTCAACAAAAGCTTAGAAAACCGCCTTCGGAGATCGTAAATGACACTCAGGCAATCGGTCCCACCCCCGGCCGGTCCACCGCGCCATTCTAAACTAGTGTCGCCCGTGTACTCACCAATAGATTCGACACGCAAAGAAAAATGTTATTAGAAAGATCGCTTCAGAATAATGTATCCTATAACCGTATAATGCTCTGATGCGGAAGATACGGGACACCTGTATAGTATACAGGATATGTCAAATGTCTGGAATATAGCCAATAACTTCGCCACTTGTGGTTTTAAAGAAAAATAATTCAAATAAAAAATTCTATATTATTTGTAGCGCATTTTTTGGCGATATTTGCTTGTTTACATTGTTCTTTGTTTCGTTGCTATGGCAACCAACATTGTTATTTTAAATGTGATGCATGTTCTTTTTTGCACATTTGAATAGAGGATAAATCCCTCTACGCGATGAACATATCAAATCATATAGTTGCATAAGAAAAAAATCGAGAAAAAATGCGTTCTCTGAAAATATGAAATCAGCAAATTACAATCAAAGTAAGCGCCGAAATAATTCCGGTGTCAAAAAATTGAGAAGAAAAGAATCCAAATATTAATAATGTATGGGTACGGTGATAGAAAATGCTCAAAGTGAAGTTTGTACAGTGTTCAATAATATTTACCCGGATACACAAATTACTCAATCCACAGTATCCAAAGTATTAAAAAAATTCTTTAACACCGGAAATGTTAAAAACCTTTCAAAAAATTGATGGCCAAAGACAGCTTCCAATGACCATACATTCTTAATTATTGATAATTGTTGAATCTGTAATATTTTTGACATTTAAAGCTGTCAACGGCGTTATTTCGGCGCCTACTTTGTAATTAGCTGATTTTACATTCAAAAAATGCATTTTTTTCTCGATTTTTTTTTATACGACCATATGATTTGATATGTTTATCGCATAGGGGGATTTATTCTCTATCAAAGTATGCAAAAAAAATATTTGCATCCCATTTAAAATAACAATGCTGGTTGCCATAGCAACGAAACAAAAAACAAAACAAACAAGCAAATATCGCCAAAAAATGCGCCATGATTAATAAAGAAACTTGCATTTGAAACATTTTTCTTTAAAACCACAAATGGCGAAATTGGCTATATTCCAGACATTTGACACACCCTGTATATCCAAGGAATAAACTATTTGAATCCGTTCTGTAAGGCAACTTTTTTTTATTCCAGTGATTTTACGATTTAAACTAGCGCTGAATAAAAATTGAGGTTAACACTAACCTAGAACTAGGAACGTTCGGGTTTAGCCGTCTTAAGAGACGCAGGGCTAAACTCGACGGTTTCTAGTTCTAGGTCTAATGTTAGTTCTAGTGACAGTGCAAGTCTCTAAAGACGGCTAAACCTGAATGATTATAGTTCTAGGTATAGTATTAGTTCTAGTTTTACACTAGCATAGAATTAGCATTAGTATAGAATTAGTTCTACAGGATGTCCTACTAAAAATATGATGATTTAACTAAACTTATCTATATACAAAATTGCTTAGTTTAGTCGCTAGAGGGCTTTGAAAATTCATGATGAATCAAAGAAAAAGCAAAACAAAGACTGCTGCCAAGTTTAAGTGACAAACTGTTTTTGTTTTTAAAATTAATTATACCTAGCCAACTATTAAAAAAAAACGTTTTTAGTTACCATGCATCACTCACTCGCCCTTGTGGGTATTTACAAAATATTTTTTTGTGGCTAAACCGTTCACCTAACTGAAATTTTGTAAGAAAGAAAATAGTTTCTAAATTAAAGTAACTATTCAGAAAAAAAATAGTAGTGTTTGTAGAGGGGGTTAAAAAGATATGGATTTTTAAACACCCTATAATATTCGAAATTAGAGTTTATTCCACAAATAGCTGTAGTCTACTGATACAAATGCATGACCAAAAAATGAATAAAATCCATTGAGGATTTTTCGACTTATTTAAAAAACATATTATTTTTAAAGCCCTCCAGCGGCTAAACTAAGCAATTTTGTATATAGATAAGTTGTAAATCTGTGTTGTTTGATCCCGTAAGCAGTAAGAAAGAAAAAACCAATAAAATTCAGGACTAGCATCTAGGACAGTTAAAACAACATTTTAACATGCCAATATTTTGATTAAATTTTTAATCTTCCTCAGGGCTTGTTTCTACGACGACAAAATATCAATAGAAAAACAGCATTAAAAAATTTAACCTCTTAAACATACCTAAGTTCTTGAAACTAGCAAACATTAATACAAAAAAACGTCGAAAAGAATCAATTATTATCAAACTTTCATAACAGAAAAATCTATTATCCTCTAACATGGAAACGTCAACGCGTACAGTGATAAGTTAAAAAACTTAAAAACTAAAAAACAACTAACGTTATTTTGCCGTTGTAGAAGCCCTAAGGATGATTAAAAATTTAATCGAAATATTGGCATGTTAAATATTCAGGAAATATTGTCCTGAAATTTATTGGTTTTTTCATAAATAAGTTGAATTAAATATCATCATATTTTTGGTCAAGGTGCTTGTGGTCTTGCGTTGTACACGTCATTTCCGGACATCCTGTATATAGTATCAGTGCTAGTGTAAAGCTAGAACTAACACTATACCTATAACTAGAATCATTCGGGCTTAGCCGTCTTTAGAAATATGCGGCTAAACCCAAATGTTTAGCATAGAATTAGCATTAGTATAGAATTAGTTCTACATAGTGTCAGTGATAGTCTAAAACTAGAACTAACACTAGACTTAGAACTAGAAACATGCGTGTAAATCCGAATGTTTTTAGTTCTAGGTCTAGTGTTAGTTCTAGTTTTGCACTAGCACTATCGCTATAACTAACACTAGACCTAGAAATATTTGAGTTTAGCGTTACGTCTCTTAAGACGGCTAAACCCGAATGATTCTAGTTCTGGGTTTACCACTGCATAACAATTAAAACTAGAACTAACACTAGACCTAGAACTAGAAACATTCGTCTGAAGACGCACAGCTAAATGAAACATTCTAGTTTTAAGGCGGCTAAACCCGAAACTTTCTAGTTCTAGTGTTAGTTCTAGTTTTAATAGACTGCCTAAGTCTGACGTCACAGAGATGGACGGAGCTTATACTGACTCCAAACAATTTCGTTGCTAACTACATTTGCTAACAATCGCCAAAAAATGTCATTTGAAATGTCATCACTTAGTTTATTTTATTTTAACACCAATGAAAAATTGCATATTAGCAACACAGTGAGCAACCAAAATGTTTGGAGTCTGTATAAGCTCCGCCCATCTCTATGACGTCAAGGCTTAGGTTGTCTATTGTTATTCAACGCTAGATTGTTGTATATTGTTATTGAAGTAGTTGAAAGGTTAAATATACCTATTAGAAAAGTATATTTCTAAATTTAACTGAAATTCAACTAATTTTTCTCTAACTCTAAATTTTTTTCCGCTCTCTTAGCGATTCGAGTTAGGAGAATTTCACTGTAATTGATTACTTACATAAACACTTATATCTTCCAAGAAATGTAAAAACGGAAAGAACTAATGGCGCAACAGAACAATCTTCCAATTGTAATAATTCCATAAGTTGTTCTAACACATCCTGATGATGAAAGTGTGGTGCAAAAACGCAACTCAGCATTACTAGGAGTTTGAGCCCACGATCTCCAGCTGTGGCAGGATGTAAGCCAACCTCCTCAATAGTGTTGCCGCCGCGCAAGCAATCCTCCACATATCCAATCAGGATTCGAATAGTTTCGTGATCAATCATAACCGAGCTGACGCGCTCCAGAAGCATTTTGACCGTATTGTAATATAAATTGGTCATAACTGGTTGTCCGAGTTTTTTTAAAACCGCCGCGATAGCATAAGAACATTCGTGACAACTAACGGACGGTCTTGAAACGGTTTCCATTGAATCCAAAAGAGCAGAATCTTTCTTCATGTGACTACTGAATTTTGAGAGGAATTCATGGGCTTTTACTGGTTCCGGGAGACAACGCGATAGAGCTTGGACTTTAACCGAAAGTTCTTTTTGAACTGCAGGAGTTGATTCGCGACGATGCAATTCCAACCACTCAAAAACTAATTTTCTGACGCATAATTGATTTTTTTGGAGTTCGATGAAAGCTTTTGTGGCGTGATCGTCCACAGTGCCCAAAAGATGATATAACTTTCGCATTCTTTCTCCGGATGGCAGTTGATAAGGTACTAAACAAGTATTTAATAATCTTTCAACTAATAATTTATCTTCCATTCCGGCCATGTAATAACCGTTAAGTATTTTGTCTTTTATCCATGTAACAGCTTTTTTCGTCGCATTTGGAACGTCGGGATCGCTTAAATGTTTTTTATAAATCATCGCTAATCCAGACATGGCTTCCTTACGAATTTTAAACTTTTTATCTAAAGTACGCTCCTTAACAAACTCTAAGAGATCTTCGGAATCTGAGACAACTTGAAAATCGCGTCGCGCGGTTGTAACGATAGCCATAACGACTTCGTATCGAACGTTCTCCTCGGAGTCATGTTGACGCATTTTTAGCGTCTCTGTAATATCTTTTCTTAAATCGGGGTGGTTCAATAAAAAATGCATAGAGTATTGAACACATTTAGTTCGTATCGCTTCGTTAATATCGTTAAAACGTCCAAGAAAAGCTCGCCAAAGTCCAGAGTGTCTCTTTGCTAGTTCCGAATCTTTTTCGCTAAACATTCGCGCCAATAAAGCCACGGCCCCCAATCTTTCGTTTTGCAATGGACTTTTTAATTTGCATTCGAGCTGAGGTAAAACCGAAGTTAGAACTTGAGGACAAATATGGTTTAATTCGTATATCAAATCATATACTTTAGAGTACATTTGTAGATTTTTGTCCTCTTTGCACAATATTAATACTTGATTAAAGAAAGCTTGTATGTGAGCTTCCAAATTGGGTGCTGTTTTTATAACAAGTTCTTTCGCTAATAAGTAAGCGTTTTTGCGTTGGGTTTTATTTGGATCAACGATATTCATTAAAATTATATCCAAAAGCTCATTACTGACAATATCACTTTCAGATATTAAGGGACACAAAACGTCAAGCATAAAACTCTTAACGCGACCCGAATGTTCATCATTCACGATTTTAAACATCAATTGAAATAAAGCACAGAAAATTTCTTGACAATCTTCTAATTCAAAACACATGTTAAACGATTTAACATATGCCAAACTCTCTAATAAATAAAAATAACGTTTAAACACAGCATCTTTGGGATCTTTTAACCCGGATAGCTGTGTTATAAGAAACAGAAATATTGTTTTAACTTGATTTGTATCTTTATATGGCGCTTCTGGGGCGTACACTCTCAAAACGTCCGCGATACAACAAGCAATAAGCAATTGAACATCCCTCGAGGAGTGTTGAAGAAATTGCTCTTCAGCGAGATGTAAAGCTAACGGTATATATTGTTGATAAGCTCCCTCATCTTGTCCCATCGCTTGCAAAGTGTGAGCAAGGCTTTTTAACCTTCTAATTAGTTCGTCCAATCCCAAATCATCCGTAATCGGACGACAACCTGGCGGGTAGACAATCTCCGACATTTTCCAAATAACCTATCAAAATATAAACACTACATGTCAAAGTCTGTTGTGGCAAAATTTTACCGCCTTTATTAGAAACTCGATATATCTAACGTTGCTAAACTTTTATGTGATAAATAGGGTAAAAACTGATGATTACGTCTCAATTCGAACCAAGAAAAACGACTTACCCAGTGAAAAAACCACGTACAATTCAAATCACATCTAACCAACGCTAATTTCAATCGTAAATAAAAGTCTAATTAAAAGACATGATACACTTCAACCATGACTACCGAACAAACCATATGTCCAATTAGCATTCAAACCGCGTTTGCATCAAATCAGTCGGAAAATCTGGTTAAAACTTTGAGAAAAACGCCACAAGCGCAAGTTATGTATACAACGTAAATGTCAAAATGGCGGCTGTAAAGCGACCACAAACTTAGGGAAAGTAGGGTTTTAAACAATTGATCTAATTGACAAGTATCCTAATTCAAAAAAACCAAAATAATTTCTAACAAATTATTTATTTTGTAAAAAGAAATTATTTAATAAGTTAAAAAGCAAATCGTAACTCTAAAAAAAATAAATTAAACAAAATTATAAAAATTTACTTTTATCTGAAATTAACCCTAGGGATTTTAGTTAGATTTTATCTCAATTTCCCTCCAATTCAATAAACGCAAAATTATATTTAAAAAATCATTTTATTCAATATAAAAAATACATATTCATTTAAATTCGTTCCACTTTAATTCAATAAAATCAATTTAAATGATTAACCAATAAAATCTTATTACGTGTCACAAAGTGTTTTATCAGCTTAAACGTTGGCAGTATCCGACTTTCCTTTCAGAGTAGATTAGATTGAAAGATTGTCGTGACGTTATTGTTGACGTCTGCCGGTTCTCTGCTTCGGTTTTGTTGAAAAGCCCAATTTTTCATCCGAAATAGGTCGTAAAATTTCGTTGAGAATGGTTTTCCTTATAAAAGCCGTCGTCGTTGTTTTATTAATCGCGTGTGGAATCTTTAATGTCCTCGGAGATGATGGAAAAAAAGGACCGAAAGTAACGGACAAGGTATGAATACCGTTATACATTTTTACAAGCTTTTTTTTAAACAGGCAAATTAGACTATTTTTAAAATTTATGTGGGTGTGTAATACATTTATATTTTATTATACATATGCCCTTTATATTTCGTCAAAATTTAATTTTAATTAAGTGGTTCAACAAAGCGATGTGTTGCGCATGCGCTTTAATAGTTTTCTAGCCAAAAAATTTTTTGCGCAAACTCATTTCTGAACTTAAAGTAAAATATTTTTTTGTTTAGGTTTGGTTTGATATAACAATTGGAGATGAAGCTGTTGGTCGTATTGAAATTGGTCTTTTCGGTAAAACCGTCCCAAAAACAGCTAAAAACTTTGCAGAACTTGCTACAAAACCCCCAGGAGAAGGTTATAAAGGCAGCAAATTCCATCGTGTCATCAAAGATTTTATGATTCAAGGGGGTGACTTTACAAAAGGTGATGGAACTGGAGGTCGTAGCATTTATGGCGAACGTTTTGCTGATGAAAACTTTAAATTGAAACATTATGGTGCTGGATGGCTTTCAATGGCTAATGCGGGTAAAGACACAAACGGATCTCAATTTTTTATTACTGTTAAACAAACTACTTGGTTGGATGGACGTCATGTTGTTTTTGGAAAGGTTCTTAAAGGGATGGGAGTTGTAAGAAAAATCGAAAACACCAACACTGACGGAAGAGATCGTCCTGCTAAAGATGTTGTTATCGCCGATTGCGGACATGAAGTTATCGATGAACCTTTCGCAGTTTCTAAAGAAGATGCTAGAGATTAAGATTGATTTTTTTTGTATGTGTGATAAGAGGAAAGATATTTTGGTATTTTTGTAATAGCCACAATTAATTTTCAATATGTTTAAAATAAAAAAAATTTCTTTTTTTTATTAAACACCACAACTTATAATATATCCTTTTTAAAATGTACAAACGTTTATTTAGTAACAAAAAAAGAAAAACAAAAGTTTGAAAAGGAATACAATGTAAATGCACCCAAGATGCTACTTCTTTTTAAAAACTTCACCTTTTTTTACTTATTTTATTTTGAGTTTTTACATATACTTGAACTTATATGCTGCTATGCTTGCCAAAGTTACCATTACACTTACACCAAACACTGTCCACATTTGAAACTAGAACAAAATAAAAATTATTAAAAAAACATAAAAAATGTATAGAAATAATTTTAAAATGAGGTCAAATAACTTAAAATAAATATATCTTGTTTATTTTGAGCACTTTTTTTTAAAGATAAATCAATTGGCGTGGTACTCAACTTTGTTGTATTTTTATGTGAAAACGAAAAAAGATAAAGTACAATCTCAAGGTTTTATTAAAATCGATTATCTATGCGGGTGTTGGTTCATGTGGACTTTCAAGTTGAATCGACATTGGGTCCTCTATCTAGTCCTCCAAAAATTGAGACGCAGAATATAAGAAGTACGCAGTTTAAACAAAGCACAAAATTTATCGAATCTCGAGACTAACACCGTATGAAAGATAGATATGTGCTATCATAGACATAGAGGGTGCTTTTGATAACACTTCCTGCGAATCCATAGCGAATGCCATTTTTCTTTTCATAAAAAATATTACTGTCTATTTTTCTACAAAAAACGCGTTATTTAAAACATTCATACTTTCGTATGCTATTTGTATTTACTCTTTATTTCCTCTTAACTTTGTTAGAAGATGTGCCAGTCAATATCTACGAACTACAAAATGTGGTTTCAACAAGATGGTTGCCCTTATGTCTTGCAAAAGAACTGTTTCAAATAAGATTAACCTAAAGACAAAATTAAACAAATTATTGATTTATTTATTATTAATTTTATAGCATTATTTTCTTAAAACTAAAGCAAATGCTCAAATTGTTTGCCGTCGGCACTAATACAAGCTCTGCATCGTCGCAGAAAAGATTTTTTTACTAGTTGTGCAAATCTCTGCATTTATTTCTTCTGCTGCTGTATAAATATTGTGGCACAGTTCGGCAAGATTTTCAATCGGTTTTTAATACACTGTTTCTTTTATGCAATCCGAATAAAAAGATCAAGAGGATTTATGCCCAGAGAATGAGGAGGCCACGTAATCGAACATAATGAGTTGGGCAGCCATCTTGTTGAAACCACATTTCTCTGTAGATATTGAGTGGCACACCTTCTAAGAAACTTGTTAAATTATTTTGGAGGAAATACAAATAACATACGAATGTATGAATTTTTTAAATAACGCGTTTTTTGCAGACTAGGCAATGATATTTTTTAGGAAAACAAAAATGGCAAATGTTTTACAACCATTTTGGAATCTTGACGAAACAGGCCATCTTTTAAAATAACTTGCCAAAGGTGTTGTACTACTCCTTTGTTTAGAAATCGTGTGTCAAATTAATTAGACATAAATTCTTTCAACCTTAACTCAATCAAACTAATACATTTTTTTGCAAAATTAACAACTTTTGTTGTTTGATTTGTGACTGCTATAGTAGCATGGTTCATAAGGAATACATTATTAAAAAAATCACTATTAAATTACGAGCATTTCTGACCGCAATACCTAAAGATAAAAAATATGTCTATTACCACTTAACTAAGAGACATAGAATTTTTTTCTTATTTTTACCAGAACAGGTATGAGTTAACCTCTCACCCGGTGCCCGCTTGACGTTGAGTTTCGGGACATCCTGTATACAAAAGGAGGCAGATTTAAATGCCTTATCACTGAAAACATGCTTTTCACTCAAGCTGATGCAGGACAACCTCAGAAGACACCTCAATATCCTCAAGGGCCCATGTCTAAATCACTTGATTGAAATTAAAACGGACCTTGTACCGACAGAATACAATTTTGACCAGCCGTATAAGGTCATATGTAAAAGCAGGGATGATTGGACGAAGACTGGGCCTCAACTACAAAGAGGTAACCCTTGCTTGGTATACGGATGCTTCAAAAACAGTTGGATTCGGAGTAGGCATGGGCATTAGTGGACGAAATAGCGGCATTAAATTGCCCCTCAGTTCGAACATAACCAAGCAGAAGTACTTGCTATAAACTTTTGCACCTACAAAACAAAAGAGGCAGAAAGGTGCATCCATAAACATTTTCACAGAATGTCGAGCCACCCTAAAGGCAATTCAGGCCTACACGTGTGACTGGTTCCAGGTTACAGAGACATTGGGGGCAATGAGAAGGAGGACAAGCTGGCCAAAGAGGCAGCGAAAATGTCCTTCATTGGACCCCAACTCGCTTGTGAACTACAAAAACGCCCCAAGAATAACATTAACAGTTGAACTGGGTATATTTTTAAAACATTTTGATATATAGAAGAAAATTCTTTAAATCATTTTACAACATTTACCAATCTAACGAAATGAAAATATTTTTAATGATTTCAGAGTACATAAACTCAACCATGACGTAAGTTTTTAACTGTTTTAACTTTTTAAAATTAAAATTACTTATCCACATGTTTTTTAAAGTACAATTTTCTTAGAAGTATTTTTTTGTTTATACATCAGGTAGTTCCTGAGGATGATTGAATAGATCGAAACCGGTAGGACTTAAAAATCAAAATAAATCCATCGAAAAGTGCAGAGATTATTTTATTTTATTGTTATAAGATGGAAAGCAGAAACGATAATAATGATACAAAAAAAGCCGCCTAAAACAAGTAATTAGCAGTTGCTTCAAAGGTAGCCTTACGCTGGAAAGAACTTCCAGGTCACAGACAAACGAAGAGTTTGATAACTCCGTCGCAAAACAAAACCAAAGAGGTTTTATGCCTCAGCAAAGAGGATCTAAGGGCGCTCTCAGGTTTCCTGAGTAGCCATGCGCCCCTAATATACCACCTCTTTCACATTGGATAAGCTGAGGATCAAACTTGTCGACTTTGTAACGACGAGTCAGAAACGACTGTACATATACTGTGTAATTCCGCCCCCAGAGGCCGCCTAAGACACAAAATTTTCAGTACAGCTCTTTTGACACCTACCGACATAAAGGCACAAGATTTTGGAGCAATAGTAAAGTTCATTAAGGACCTACATTTGCCATAAACTTTTGGAGGGCTAATTACAATAGCTCTTATAATATATCTTATAGAAGCAATAATAACAATAAAGATTAACAGTCTAGAGTTTACAGTCGAATAAGATGACAAGAAAGTATCTAAATCACAAAGAGACTTCCTTCCACCGCTTCTTCTTTCTCCATAAGTGGAAAGAAAGATACATCGCGACTGCGTGAGCATGCACCCATTATATTCACAGCAATCGCTTCCCATTGACTGGTTGGAGTTCATTAGCAAAGTCGAGTTATGCATGGATGAACACGTAATATAATAGTAGTTTTTTTAACATGTTACTTAACCAGAAAAAAATGAAAAAGGTCAAAATGAAGACACCAAAAAGTTTCCATACACATGTATTAACTAACTTTGTATTAGCTGTGAGCTGTGTGTATTATGGCGCTTTAGCTTAATAAGCTTTACTCATTCAGTCTTTATCATCAATATGGCAGAGGTCGCTTATGGCCAATTTATATTGCCTAATTTTGTGCTGATTGTGTCGCCTCAACCGGTCTTGGCTTGATAACCTTTGCTCATTCAGCCTCTATCATTAACTTAGCAGAGGATGCTGTGGCACTAAGACTGCATTAGTGTGGGGATGGATTACAGTATTGTAAATTTTTGAGGTTCACTATGTTAGCTAAGTCTGTGGCAGTCACATGGACTCGCCACCTCAGGATGTGGCAGTCTCATCTTGAAAGTATTTTAAATCGAAATTTTCAGATGAGTTTTGGAACCTAAAAAAGTTTTAACAAACCAATTACACACCTATATATATTATTCAAAAATGTTGAAGATTCTAATAAAACTTTTCAAATTTTAATTACCAAAACACTTAAATTGTTTTTATTAATTACAAATTCTAACTAAATTAATTAATAAATCAACTTACTCTTGATCTATTACTTTTTACCAACTTTTTCTTATCATCATTATCTTTTAAATTAAACATTCTTTGAGCTAACTGTTTTTCAGAAACTTTCTGCTTTTTGATTAATCCCCCTAAAGTACTGATTTCTTTTATAATATCCTGATCGTCTGGAGCAATTTCGTTAGCTTTTTGTAAATACTTTAGAGCCATTGGAAGTTCATTTTTAGCTTTATATACCTAAAAATAATTATTATTAATAACAAAACAATTAATGGATAAATACTTTACTTTAGCTTTTCTGAAGAGTGCTTTAACATTTTCAGGTTGACATTTTAAAACAAGCTCTAAAGAGTTTAAAGCTTGATCAAATAGATTTAATTTGATTTGAGCAGCTGCCATATTATTAGAAACGCTTATTCTATCCTCTAATAAACTTTGCAAATCAACATCAGATATTTCATTATCACTAGAATTGGGGTCTTTAATTCCACCTTCTAATTCATCTAAATAATCTAATGCTCTTCGATAACATTGGATTGCTAACATGTTTTCACCTCTTCCATACCACCAATTACCTCTTTTTCGTTTGTTGTTACTAAAAAAAGTTGTTAATTAAGGATTAATTAATAAGTTTTGTTAAAAATACCCTCTTTCTTTTCTATCAGCTACAGAAAGATTATCAGTTTCTTCTTCTACTATTGATAATAAAGCGACTTCATAAATGACTGTTGTATTAGGTGGTATTAAAGGGGGCAGGCCTTTTGCACCAAACGCTAATCTGGGTTGGATTTTAAGTTCACAAATTTCTCCTACATTCATCATTGCAATTGATAAATCTAAACCTTGAACAACCTAAAAATTCCTTTTATAATTAAAAAATCAATAACATTTAAATTAACTTACATCGCAGCCATCAACTTGCATTAAAAAATTTTCCTCACGCTCCACTTCCAATCCATTTTCCAACTTGCAAACATAATTAATTTTACAAACATGATACTTTTGTGGTTTCAAATCATTTTCGCCCTTTTTTATCACCCTTTTCAAAATACTCCCACTTCCCAACACATCTTCCCATTTATCTCCATCTTCTTCATCTTCATCATCCTTTGCCACCGTAATTTCTTTCACCTCATCATCCTTTTTAACTTGAACACCTTCATCCACGACTTTTTCTTTTATAACCGCTTCATTTCCAACTCCAATTCCATTGGTAACGTCTTCACCATCACCTTTCATCTCCTTCTCCGAAGTGTTTAACACAATTTCTTCCACGTTAGTTTCACCAACCATGTTTTAAGTGTTATTTTTAGATATAATGATCCAAGAGATAAAGATTAAATAACTAATAAAAAAGCGCAGTGTTTACCGTGTACTGACTTGCACAAATAGAAAATTGTTAAGAAATTGACAGTTTAAGGTGCCAAAGTGATAACAGTGTTTGGCAATGATAATCTTTTGAGGTTGGAATTTTTTTTTTTTAGATTAGTTCGAAGATATTGATGAAAACTTTATGTTAATTGATGAGATTTGTGTAATCGAATTTTTTCGAAAGAAATGAGGAAATTAATGAAAAAAAACCAACGATTTTGAAAATGACATAACACAATGACAGAATTTTAACAACTTCACGTAGAACATAATCACGACGTACTTTTATGTATTTTTAGATTTTTTATTTGTACATATCGCAATAAACCTTGAAGATTAATAGTTGTAATTACTTTGTACAAATCAATTTATAATCATTAATTGTAATTATTTTTTTAAATTTTTGTTTTAATGTTGGTACTCATGATGATACAAACTTCATACGCGTTGGTTTAAAACGTGGTTTTGAGGTTATTATTTATTATTTTAGAAAGAATCGAAACATAATGAATAAGTTAAAATGTGTTAATTGGAAACCGGTTAAAATAGATGGAAATCTTTGTGCTAATTTAGACGGTTTAATCGGTATAGAAGAATGTACCGATTATGATTTAGGCGCTTCATTGAAACCAAAAGCATTTAAGGTACTATTTCAACAACTTTATTGATTTATTATTTAAATTTTCTTTATATTTAGAGTAAACATAAACTTAATACAAAAAATAAAGCCTCAAAAAAGATTAAAAAGTCAATTAATGAAGATGAAGAGTGCGATTTAAAACCTTCAACTACAGGAAGTACACAAACGGATTTAAAAGAATTTAAAGAAAAGAATAAAATTAATTTAGATATAGTTAAAGCATGGAACACTGTCCCACTTCAAACTCCCTTATTAAAAGCTTTGGCAATTCAAAATTTTACTCAACCCACTGAAATACAAAGTTTAACATTACCAGCAGCTATTTTGGGGAGACGTGATATATTGGGAGCAGCAGAAACGGGAAGTGGTAAAACTTTAGCGTTTGGGCTACCTATTTTAAATGGAATTTTGCATCTTAAACAAGTTTCAAATAAAGAGGATGATGAATCTGATTTTGATGAAGTCGAATCAGAAGTTGAAAGCCTTGATGAAAATGGTTTTGGATGTGTGAAATCGATAAATAACATATCCATTGTAAATGATAAAGAAAAACCTTTGTATGCTTTGATTTTGACACCAACAAGAGAATTAGCAATACAAATAAAAAATCATTTAGTTTCTGCTGCACAATTCACAACAATTAGAATTGCTGTAGTTGTTGGGGGAATGTCTGTTGAGAAACAAGAAAGAATTTTAAGTAAAGGTCCTGAAATTGTTATTGCAACTCCTGGGAGACTTTGGAATTTATTGGAAGAGGGAAATCAACATTTAAATCAAATTGATAATATTAAGTAATAATAAGCGTTTTATTGTTTATAATTTTACAATTTACCATTTACAATATTTCAGTATAATTTACACCCCAACCCTCGTCCCTCATCTCCATACCCTCGCCTCAATCACCTCCCTCATCCATCTTTTGCCCTCACACTCCTCTCCCAAAATCTGCTTCTTGTCCATCGCCTCCTCCCTTAGACTACACCCTCTCAGCATGTGTTCAAGCGTTTCTCAATCTTCTCCACACAGCCTCCACATCGTCCACCCAGTACCTGTTCCCTCTCTGCTCATTGCCACTGCGGAATCTGGCCACTAATCTCTACCTTTCATCATCACCCTTCATCAACAGATACTTTGACAGTTCCTCTGTCACTATCTCTCAATTCTCTCCACATTTCACCTCTCTCCACTCTTCTGTTGTCGATCCCAGTTAGTGAATATCGCACTTTCTTATAATATCCTTCCCTATCTCTCTGCCCATGGAGCTGATACTCTTCTCCTTAATTCACCACTCTCCCATCCTGCAATGCGACCTTCTTTCTATCATTTCCTTGTACTTCACTGCTTTTCTCCCAGCCTCCACCCTTACTGTATCCATCTTAACCTCGTCCCTCACTACTTACCCTGGAGTCTCCCTTGCCAACCCTAGTACCCATCTCCAATACATTGCTTGTACAGTCGTGACCTTGGGAAATGCACACTCAAGGTCAAGCGCTGTTGTGAGATCCGACATGCCGCTGGCTAAACGGGCTGATCCGAGCGCATACGAAGCTCTTGACTCGTGAGCGCTCGGCTCAGCCCTTTTAGCCAGCGGCATGTCGGATCTCACAACAGCGCTTGATCTTGAGTGTGCATTTCCCAAGGTCACGACTGTACATCCTCCAGCAATCCTTGTTCTCTCCATCCCCCCGCCAAGCCCTCAAACATAACCTTTCTTTTTCCGACCTCCTTCCCAAAAGTTCCTGCAATAACTCCCCCCCTCTCCATTTCCTCTTCCAATCTCCCCAGCAGTACCTTTGCATATACAGGGTGTACAAAAAGTATGGAATAATGGTTCTACAGCCTAAACTTCAACTTATATTAAAAAAAGTTTTAAATAAAAGTTACTTGAAACTATTTTCAATCGTAACAATCTGAGTTACGACATGGTGTGTTTTTTAAATGGAACATCCTGTATATTTTAAGGTTGTTGGATTCCTTTTGACAAGGTGTTACAAAACGCCATAATGTTTTAATGCTTTAAACTGCATAGTTTTCGAGATATTGAAACTTTTATTTAAAAAAATTTGACGTAGCGACAACCAAATTATGGCGTCATTAGTAGACAACCTAAGCCTTGACGTCACAGGAATGGGCGGAGCTTATACCGACTCCAAACATCTTCGTCGCTAACTGTGGCAAATGGGTTGTTTATTCCATAATGACGCCATAATTTCGTTGTCAGTTTAAAGCATTAAAATCTTATGGCATTTTGCAACATCTTGACCAAAGGAATCCAAAAAACTTAAAATATACAGGGTGTTCCATTTAAAAACACACTCACCATGTCGTAACTCAGACTGCCGTCATCATTTTTATTTTATTTTTACGTCAAGATATGCGGAAAATAGTTTCAAGTAACTTTTATTTAAAACTTTTTTTAATATAAGTTGAAGTTTAGGCTGCAGAATTATTATTCCATACTTTTTGTACACCCTGTATTTTAAATGTAGTATCCAACAAAGTGATCCCTCTATAATTGCTCACCACCCTTTAACTTCCCTTTTTATACAGTGAATAAAACTGAATAAAATTAAATCATTCTTTTTTAGATTTTTGGCTATTGATGAAACTGATAGGATGATAGAAAAAGGTCATTTTCAGGAACTTGGGCACATTTTAGAACGTTTAAATATGGACGAAATGAAACGAAAAGCCCGCCAAAATTTTGTATTTTCGGCCACTTTAACTTTAATTCACGAACTTCCTAAACATTTATTGGTTAAAAGAAAAGTTCGCGGGAAGAAAAATATCTCCGATATGACGCCAGATCAAAAATTACAAAGTATCGTTGATATTTTGGGCATTTCTAACCCAAAAGTCGTCGATATTACCAAAGGAAAAGGAACTCCACAGAGTTTAACAGAATCAAAAATTACTTGTAGCATCGATGAAAAAGATTATTACGTTTATTATTTTTTAAAACAATATAATGGTCGCACATTAATTTTTTGTAATTCAATAGGTTGTGTAAAACGTTTAGTTTCTTTATTGGGATTGTTAGATTGTAAGCCATTACCATTACATGCTTCAATGCAACAAAGACAACGATTAAAAAATTTAGACAAGTATTAAAAAAAAATTATTTAAAAGAATTTGGAGTTATCAAACTCGTTTTAGATTTAAATCAGACGAAAATGGTCTTTTAATAGCAACTGATGTCGCAGCTCGCGGTTTAGACATTCCATCAGTTCAACATGTTCTACATTATCAAACACCAAGAACAAGCGAAAGTTATGTTCATCGTTCTGGACGTACAGCTAGAGCTACTAAAGAAGGTTTAACAGTTCTTTTAGTTGAACCGGATGAATTACAAAATTATTTAAGATTATGCCGAACATTAGGAAAAAGTATAAATATCAAACAAACAAAAAATAACTTAATAACATTTTAAATTTTAGCTGAAGATATTCCTCAATTCCCCATACAAGATAGTATTTTAAACGCTGTAAAACAAACTGTTAATTTAGCTCGTGAATTAGACAAATTAGAACTACAAGTGAAAAAAACAAACTCAGAGAGTGGTTGGATGCAAAAAGCTGCTGAAGAAATGGATATTATTTTTGAAGAGGAATCCTGCAAATACGATAAATCTGACGCGAATAAATTAAAAAAAGTCGCCGATATAAAACGTAAAGAATTAATGGTTATGTTAAAAAAACCGTTGTTCCCTAAAAATATGGTTATGCGGTATCCATTATTTCCAAGTAATTTAGATTTTCTTGATAAAAAACCAATCAATGCTATTGAAACTATGAAAAATTGTTTGGAAAATTCGGCGCCGATAAGGAAGAAAGCTAAACGATTGTTTAAAACTAAGATAGAAAATATTGGGAGTGTTAATAAGTTAAAAATTAATGGAAATAAAGGGGGGAAAATAAAGAAAAGGAAACGATAAATTTTTGTTAAATATATTTTTATTCTTTTATATGTTTTTTTTTTTAAGTTCTCCTTTGAAGTTAATACAATGTTTAATTAAATTGTAAAACCAGAACATTTTTGAAGAAAAAATAGGTTGAAATAAATCGTATTGTAAAAAAACTTGATGAATAAAATATCTTACAGAAAAGACATAATGTTGATCATAAATTATTGTTTTTGAGTCTACTTTTTTGTGAACCTAAATAGATAACTGATATCAGGCAAGATATAAAGGCACATGATGTATATCTGCTTGTATTTATAATTAGACTGCGAGGTGGGGTAAAATGTAGATGAAAAATTAATGGAAGATTAACAAATGTTGGTAAATTAAAACGTAATGTAATAATTTTAACATTCTCTTAGTTCACTGAGAGAACATAACCTAGAATTTGTGACAGAGAGATTTTTTGTTGGTGAAAATCTTATCTTAAACCGTTTTGTTTACTTCCAAATGTATCAATTATTGTAGTTCAGCTCCTAAAGCACATTTTTCATCCATCGTTTGAGGTTTTAACGTTATTTTGAGGAAGAAATCCTTGATTTAAATTTGAATTTTTGCAACTTTACTCATTGTTGAAATTTGGCGTGTACTCCAATGTATGTCTAAAAACAAGAAAAGACAACGTTGAATACGACGTTTTATTACGTTTCATAAAGGAATAAGGGAGAAATCAACGAAAAAAGAATTAAATTTTGAAGGTTAATTCCGAGAAAAATCAAGAGATGACGCTAGTTTCGAAGCAAGAATTTTGAATTTTGAAAAGGGCGCGAAGCTAAGGGCCAATCAGAAACGAGGAAAAAAACAGTTGGAGTGCCGGGGTATATAAGGAGATCGCGAACAGGGAGTGGGAGAGTCGTCGTCGGACCAGCGTCGAATCCACGTCGTCAGATAGAAGAAATTTTGAATCCCAAGAGATAACCTCAAAAATTTAAGATAATTTTTTTAAAAGTCAAATCAACTTACGATATTAAAATAAAAAGTGAATCATCCTACAACCTATTCCGAGAACCGATACTTCTTCGAGATCATCCAAGACCCTATTTCCGAAGAACAAACAGTTCAATTTCCCGTAAGAAGAATCCTGTAGACAATCCAGAAAATTAGTTAGTGCCCGAACACAAGAGACAATCCATAATCCAGATACCACATTGAACTCCAATCCTTTCTTTTTCACAGTGAGTCGGATGACAATTTTATTTTCTTATTTAACATAACCTACAAATCAAAAAATCAAACTCAAAGAACAACTCACAAGAGTTTCCTATAATTTTGATGAATACTTACTTGTGTGTAAAGATTTATTAGTTTTCTTGAATAACGTTCATTTATTTAATTCTATTTTGTTTTTAACGAGTTTGATGACAACTTAAGACATCGGCCATTTGTTATTTTCAAAGAACGGTTCTAACCATATATATACTATCTCCTATATCGCTGACTAAGGCAGCAAAAGAGTGTAAACACTAGAGTGCAGAAATATATATATCTGTCTCTGTCGTGCCCCCATCTACTCAAGAGACATGAGTGAACACGTGGTGAGTACGCTTTTATCTTATTGGACGGTGAATTAAAAATTAATAGCAGCTGATGACCTTGATGTTTATAAATCACCAAATAAATGTTTGACATAAACATAACCTAAAATCTAAATATTTAGTTATGTATATTATAGGTTTCATGTGTATAATAACATAATTATTAACATATTTTAGGACTAAGCAATTTAAAATGTAATTATTATTTGTTAAGAAAGTGAAGAAAATTTGTTAAAAGATATTTTTGGGGCGGTAGAAATTGGTTGAGCAGGTAGAAGGAATCGTTCCTTCTACCTGCTCAACCAATCCTCAGTGTAATAAAAAAGAATTCAAAGCCCTCCTTTTCTTGAAACATTTTTCTTAAAAATTTAATTAATAATTACATCGATATGATGAAAATTTTATGATAGAATATTATGTACATTAAATAGTAAGTACCCTAAGTACATATTTTATATCTGTAATTAATGTAACAACTTCATTAAAGGGCGTGAACTCACAAATTATGTTAAAAATTAGTAACTATATTTTGGTACACATTTTTAATAATTACTATGTATATATGTATTAATTTAATTTTAAAGAATATAATGTTTAATGAACAACCTACATAAAGTCGATATTTAAAGCAATATTCAACGTCAATTTCACACAAAAGTTCATATTCATCCTGGTATCCTGGTAAACAAAACTAACTTCACACAACATTTTTCTCTGCCCTTCGTAAATAAAACTAACGACTTGCCCAACAGTCCTTACCTCGAGGTCATTGACCCTGGTAAACAAAACTAAGCTTACCCAGTATTTATAATTTTGTTTCAATTTTGATGAATAATAAAATAGGTTTGTAACAGTTTTTAACAAACTGGAAAGAATTATAAGATAGATATAGATATTATAAAGCATAAAAAACAAATATATATAAAGAATAAAAAAAATATTCTCTATTTTTGAAAAAATAAATTATAAGACAAATATAATTAAATACTTTATAAATATATAAAGTAAATAACATTTTATTTTTGAGGTTATATGGTTTTTAATTTAAAACATTAACTTAATTAAATAAAACATTCAATTACATCTCTTCTACAATTTTTAGATAACCTTTTTCATAAAAATCTACCAAAACTCCTCGAACTCTTTCATTATATATGTGGCTATTTTTTCCAGATTGAGTCCATTGTTCCTGAGCTTCCTCCATATTAATATCATCCGATCTCCATTCGGGAATTTCACTGCTATCTTTCGTTATAATACACAAAACCATAACGGTCAAAAGCAATCCAACCACTGAATACTTTTTCATTTCTCCTTCAAGTTGCTGGAAAGTTAAATACTTTTGGGGGTCAGTTCCTAATTCGTTAACATGCGCGCATAAAGTGTAGTAATATAATTTAATCATATCATCATAATGTTTATCTCTTAATTGTTTTGAGGTGCAAGTAAAAATAAAGTAGGATAAATCGCAAGCTGGAGAACCGAAACGTGCTAATTGCCAATCTAATAAACATACTTTTTTGGGTATATTATTTAATTCATTATCGTATTTCCATAACATATTATTCACCCAACTATCTCCATGTCCGATTACGGATTGATTGTTCGTATCATCTAAGAGAGTTAATAAAATATTTGGGTAATCATCAATAAATTTTTCAAAAATCTTTATAAGTTTTCCATCAACTTTCGGATCTAAAGCTTTCAACCCCATTTTTATCATTGGGGCTTGAGCTTGTATTACAGATTCTTTCATCATCGTATCTCTAAAAGTATCTTTGCAATTATCACTTAATTTCTTAAAAACATCCGGTTTTTGATCCTTCAAAGCATACGAAACAGCATGAAATTTTGCGTAAGCTTTCATCACGAGTTTAACATGATTCCAATCTAAAGGTTCTTGACGAGGGCGCATAACGTAACCTAATTGTTTCATATCTTCCAGAACTAAGCTTTCCTTTAAATGTTCTAGATAAGATAAAATATGTTTAGCGTGATTGTTAAATGGTTCTAAAATGTCTTTTTCCTTTTGAAAATCTTGGAAAGTTTTAAAAACTTCACTATAAAGAAACGATTCTCGTTTGTAAGATATGGATATATCCATCATGGCTCGATAAGTTTCGAGATTTGGAGCTGCTTTTACGATCCAATTAAACGTTTTTGGCTCGTTTGATTGATTTAGAGCGGTTATCGTTAATTTTCCGATAAATCCCATGAAATTATCGCCTAAACTACTTCCTATTTCAACGTTTATTGTTATGTCTTTGTAACCTTGTTGTTCTAAGTGGGAGATAATGTAGTTTTTAACGTCTTCGTGAAGAACGTCGAGGGTTGGTGGTGATGGGGTAGCTAAAATTCAATCATTTAAACGTTAACATAAAATGATTAATTAATTACTTACCCTCATTCTCAGAGGAAACTTTTTCAATAACTTCATCACAAGAAGTTTGATTTAAATCGCAATTTTCGCAGTTATTACATTCCATATTGGATAAATCTTGAAATATAAATCGAATTGGATTGAAACGCAGGAAAGTTTTGATCGACTTTTATATGTTTTTCGAATCAAAATCTTATCTTATCGTATTCGTACTATAATGTAATTAAAGAGGATGATTGTCGATGCATTTATTGGGATTGTATTATATAATTATTGTTTCAAATTATCAATAGTATTTTGTACAACGAAAATAAAATTGTAATCTTATGACTCGCATAATGTTATCTTTTATTGTAATTCTCTATGAAATGATCTTGCAGAAAACGAAAAAACATTCCTTAATTTATTTATAATAATTAAAATATCCTTTTTCGTAAAAATCAATGATAACACCACGAACTCTCTCTTTATATCTATCGTTAGGGCACGTTAAAGTAATTGGTTCCTCTTCAAAATCATCTTTGTAATCGGCAAGATTTGGGTTATATTTTGTGATAACATCCAATACCAGCAATGTCATGTATAATCCAACCACCGAAAACTTTTCAAGTTCTTCTTGCAAAGCCTCAAAAGGTAAACACTTTTGTGGGTCGCTTCCTAATTCGACTAAATAAGCTGATAAAGTGTAATAATAAAACTTAATCATTTGGTCGTAGTATTTATCTCGAAATTGTTTGCTGGTACAAGTAAAGAGGAAATAAGATAAATCACAAGCTGGGGAACAATATCTTGATAATTGCCAGTCTAATAAACATAATTTTGTTGGATATGTTGGTCTGGTTAAATCCTAAAAAAAATTAACTATATTTAAAGTTAATTATATTAATAAACGTCAAAATAAATAGAATTAAACAAAATAGAAACCAAAAGAACTGAAGTACTAAAACAAGACATTATGGACACTATTACATCCGTTGCTTGGTAAGATATGGAGAGAAGAAAAAGCTTTGAGTCGTTAAACAGAAGAATCATGTGCCATATTCTGAGAGAGGGCCACTTCGAGAGTGTCATGTGACGCATAATGGAAATATTACTAATCCTATCCAGGAAAATTGGTTTTTAGTGGGAATTGCAAGATAGACTTGAAGACCATCCAAGGAGCTTGGAGATGAAAGCGCCTAAGCAAGTTGTGGAAGAAAACTATTGAGGAAGAAGCTGGAAGAACATGGAAAGAGGTGATACACCTTGAAAAGAACAACTCTGAGATGCTTCATAGTAAGAATAGAACAAAAAATAGCACAAAAAGCTTTACGCCCTATTCATAGATCTAAAGGCAGCGTTTGATAAGGTGAATAGAGGGAAGTTATGGGAGGAGATGAGGAGGAGAGGGATTACTGGTGGGACAATAAACAGGGTGAGGGAGATATACGCAGAGACGATAGCTAGGGTAAAGGTGGGGGACGAGTTGACGGATAGGTTCTGGACAACGAGGGGTTTGAGGCAGGGATGTCCACTCAGTCCCGCTCTGTTTACCTTGTATACCGCAGACATGGAAGACAGATTGACCGGGGGGCAGATGGGAGGTGTGGTTGTAGGGAGGAGGAAGGTGCATTCACTGGCTTACGCGGACGATTTGGTGGTAGTGGCGAGAGAGGCGAAGGAGATGAAGGCGATGATGCGGAGTTTGGAGAGTTATTTTAGGGGGAAGGCTCTGGAGGTGAATGTAGGAAAGACAAAGGTTATGAAGTTCTGTAAAGGGAGTAGAAGGAAGAGCGAAGACTGGAGGTGGGAAGGGAAGGAGATAGAGGAGGTGAGGGAGTACACATATTTGGGGTACAGCTTTAGAGAGGACAACAAGGAAGGCGCGCATGTGAGGACAATGGCAAAGAAGGCGAATAAGGTGATGGGGCAGGTCTGGGGGTGGGGAGAGAGATTATTTGGAAGGGATATGGGAAAAAGGAAGATGATATTCGAGTGCTTGATTAGAAGTGTTATGATGTATGGGGCGGAGCTTTGGGGGTGGAAAGAGCAAGGGCTGTTGGAAGGCGTACAGGCTAGGTATTGGAGATGGGTTTTGGGGTTGGCAAAAGAGACGCCGGAGTACATAGTCAGAGAAGAGGTGAAGGTTGATAAGTTAAGAGTGGAGGCGGGTAAAAGGGCGGTACGTTTTGAGGAGAGGGTTGAAGGGAGGTCTCAATGTAAAATTTTGGGGGAGTGCTGGAAAGAGATTAAGGCAGGGAAAGGGGGTTACGGGCAACGAGGGAGGGAGGAATATTTCAGAAGGGTCGGGTACTCAGTGAAAGCGGTAGATGATAGAAGGAGGGAAGGGATTGAGATGTGGAAAGAGCTGGAGAGCAGGGATAGAGATGTACAGAGGCAAGAAAGAAGGGGGCAGATAAGGGAGAGCAGGTACAACCCTAAGTACGAGGAAATAATAACGGAGGGATTGCCGAAGTACCTGTCGGTGGAGGGGGATGAGGAGGGGAAGAGGATGGTGGCAAGATTCAGATGCGGCAATGAGGAGAGAGCGAATAGGTATTGGATGAGAGATGATGAGAGGGGTTGTAGGCTATGTGGGGGGGAGTGGGAGTCGTTGGAGCACCTACTGAGGGAGTGTGACGAGCTAAGAGAGGAGGTGATCGGCTGGAAGCAGGTGCTGGGGGAGGGGGCAGAGGGAAGAGAATGGATGAGGGAGGTGGTGGCGACAAGGCAGCGTAGGGAGATGCGGAGAGGAGATGGGGAGGGGTAGGATAGGAAATAAAATGTATTGTATTGTAATGTGATATATGTAATTGTAGTATTGTTAAAATTTAATTGTTTGTGGAATGTATTGCTGATATGGTAGCAATAAACTTAATTAATTATAGAACAAAAAATATTAATATATATAACTTACTTCGTATTTCCACAACATATTATTAACCCAACTATCTCCATGTCCAATAACAGAATATTGATTTACTTCTTGGCACTTTTCAATTTGCAATTCAATATAATTTTTAGTATATTTTTCGAAAATTTCAATCATCTCCACAGAATCATTTTCTTTATCAAAAGATTTAATTGCTTTATTCATAATTCCCTCCTGAGTTAAATACGCATCCTTTTTCATTAATTTTCCGAAAACATCAACGGTGTTTTCCGCCAAATTCTTAAACAAATCCGGTTTTTGATCTTTTAAGGCGTAAGATAAAGCGTGTAATTTCGCGTAAGCTTTTATTACTAATTTAACATGATGTAAATCTAAGGGACGTTGTCGATTTCTCATGACGTAGCCGTAACTTTTCATATCTTCCATTAGTATGTTTTCTTTTAAAGGTTCCAAAAATGAAGCGACGAAATTGGCGTATTCATTGAAAGGTGATTGAATTGATTTTTCGTTTTCGAATTGTTTGAAAATCGGGAGGACTTGTTCGTAAATGTAGGCTTCTCTTGCGTAAGCTAATTCCACGTTGAACATTCTTCGATAAATTTCTGAATGTGGGGCTGTTTTTATGATTAAATTGTAGGTTTTTTTGCTAGAATCATCTTTTTTTGTTCCGTGAATTATTACTTTGGTGATGTAACCGAGAAAGTTTTCTCCTTTATTGCAACCACTTGATATTTTCATTGTTATATTTTTTATTGCTAAGTTTTTAGCGTGATTTGAAACTAGTATTTTTAAGTTTTCATCTAAATCGGCCATAATTTTAAATTATTTTACACTAAAAAATTAAGTCAATTATTTATTAAGAAAATTTAATTTTACGTTACCTTAAGTGGTAAAATTGATTATTTACTTCCAATTTAGGAGTTGTTTTTATAATAAAGGTGTTCGAATATATACTGAAATGTTATCTGGTTGTTATCTTAATAAGAAATTTAATTTCGTTACTGATAAAAAAGAAATTTTTTGATGCAAGAAATGTTCTATTTTTAACTTTGTTTAGAATTCTTACATTTATGCTCTTTTTGTGACGTCATCTAATATACAGTTAACTTTTTTTTAATTTGATACTAATAAGGATTAAATATGATTTTATTTATTTGATACATTGTGTATTACATCAATCATGAAAAAATACATGCACATTTACAACAATATTACAAGAATACATTGATTATTAAAAGCAATAAAAATAATACATCATATTTTTTTATTAAAAAAGTTGTTGCAAATACCCCTTTTCATAAGCATCAATAATAACATCCCTAACTCTTTTAGAATATGCTTCAATATTCACACCAGCCATAAGCCATTGTTTTTGCATATCAACTGAAATGTTCATATCTTTCATATCTTCAGCTTTGATTTCAGGTAATTGAGCCACTGTAAAATCGCGAGTAATAACAGCCAATAAAGGTATTGCCATAAACATCCCAACCAAAGAATATTTCTTGAGTTCATCTTGCAAAGCTTCAAATGGCAATAGTTTTTCTGGGTCACTTCCCATTTCGATTATCTGACTACACAAAGTGTAATAATAAAGTTTTATCATACTATCAAAGTGTTCATCTCTGAATTCTTTTGTGGTGCTAGTAAACATGAAATATGATAAATCAAACGCTAGGGAACCACAGCGAGACATTTGCCAATCCATCAAGCAGACATTTGTTGGAATTTTCGAATCTGGTAACTAAAAAAGATATAAATTAGATGGGCGATTATTAAATTATTTAAAAACATCAAAAAGAATAAGATTTTCTTTATTATTACCCATGGAGTTGAAAACGAGGCTCAAAAACATACTTATCAGGAAGATGTCGAAGATTTGAGTAAATTAAAATCGTATTTTTAGGTTATATCACTTTTTAGGTCTAAATAAAACTAAAACTAGAAATTTTTGAGTTTCGATTTTTCTTAAACGTGTTTTTAACTTGTCTACGGTCGATTTATCTTGTTTTCGACTCATTTTTATAAGAAAATATTAATTATTTTTAAAAATAAAAACGATATAACCTCAAATTAATTGTTTGTGGTGAAGGTTGTCAATTTCGTAGTACCAATTTAAAAAAAAAAAATAAATTTGGAAAACGATTAAGTTTTGAGATTATGTTGCTACTCAATTAACATAGAAATAAATAATTAACCCTTTTTAGGGCAGAGGTGATATTTTTACCACCATAATTTTTTTAAGTTTTTTATAAGAAAATAATCAAATTTAATTTTCTTTTGTAAGTTGGCAACTTATTTAGCGATCTGTCAATAATATGACGTGAAGAAATGCATAACTGTCATAACATTGTTTTTTTGCTGTCACCTGTTGAATGTTCAAAAATAGTGTTTTTTCGTACCAAATTTTGTATAACGGTCTATTTTGTAGATCTTCGAGATTTTGAGGTAAGTTTTATTATTTACATGTTATATTGGATTTGTCCTAAGTATTTTGACACATATTTTTATCTTTGGGTATCCTGGTTTTTCAAATAAATTGCTTTTTGTGGTGGGAAGCATATTCCCTCTGCCTGCGAGTGGCTGCTATATTTTTTGCTTTGCTTTGCCAGATGAGTGCAAAAAGTGGCTTAGACAAAGGTTTATCAGAATTCGAAATAGAGCATGCGCTTGAAGAGCTTTTTGGGTTGCCTGATGACCCAGAAGTGTCTGACGATAACCTGGAAGCCGAAGAGGAAGAAACTCCGTACAACACCGCTCGGCTTCAAAAAATACTGGAAAATCCCGATGATCCGTCAATGTCTCCGCACCTCCTGCATAATCAGACCAGCCTACAATCATCAGAAATTATGGATACTGAAGCCATTCCACCAGCTGATTTACAAAGTGAAGACCTGTCCGTGTATGTAAGTCAACAAATTGAAAATAGTAGCTCAATTACTGTAAGGCCGGCTAGGCGGTTGACGCGATCTCGATATTCAACTTCCGAACTCAGTACCTCACCTGACGACACTGATGATTCTGATCTCGAAGAAGAGACATGGAAAAAAACATATTGGACTTCTCGGCCCGTTGCTGAAGATTTTGACAAGATTCCTTTGACTACTAAGCAAAGCTTCAATCCTAAAACTAGGCCCATCCGCTTTTTTGAAAAGTTTTTTACAAATGAAGCTATAGAACTTATTGTGTCGCAAACAAACTTATATGCCGACCAAATGAAAATAAAAGAGTGGACGCCCGTGACTACTGATGAAATAAAAGCCTTTTTAGGCATTCTCATAATAATGGGCTATAAAGTTCTGCCCATGATAGACCTGTATTGGTCGTCTGATCCAGGTTTTCGAGAAAATGACATAGCAGAAATAATGCCAGTAAAAAGGTTCAAGAAAATTATGCGCAGCCTACACTTGAATGATAACGCGCGACAACCTGAAAGAAATAGTCCCGAATACGATAGGTTGTTCAAACTGAGGCCATTGATAAATATTATTAACGAATCCTGTAAAAATAATGTCAATTTATCTAGTTCACAGAGTATTGATGAGTCAATGGTACTCTTCAAAGGACGGTCTTCGCTAAAGCAATACCTACCTCTCAAGCCCATCAAACGGGGATACAAAATTTGGTGTAGATGCGACAGTGAGACAGGACAGGATATTTGTATGAATTTAGTATTTATACTGGGAAAACGGATGGAGTGGAAAAAGGGCTGGGAGCAAAAGTCGTGAAGAACTTGACGCAACATTTAATTGATAACAATATAAAGAATGTTCACGTTACATTTGACAACTTCTTCACAGATAACAAACTTTTAGAATATTTGTATGAACATAACATATATGCAACTGGCACCGTGCGTAGGCACAGAGAAGGATTACCTCAACTTACAAAAGGTCCAAACGCTAGAAACCTAAAGCTATCTAAGGGTGAATTTAAATGGCGTGTGAAGGACAATGTTGCTTTTATAATTTGGCAGAATAATAAGGAGGTACTACTTTTGAGCAGTGCGTTCCATCCAAAAGTCGGAGTTTGTACTACTTTGAGGACTCAGAAAGACGGCAGTAAAGTGCCAATTCGCTGCCCTTTAGCCATTAAGCAGTATACTAAGCGAATGGGAGGCGTGGATAAATTCGACCAGATCAAAACCACATACACAGTTGGAAGAAGAAGCAAACGATGGTGGCTTTACCTTTTTTACTTTCTCCTTGATGCTAGGCATCATTAACGCTTTCATTATGAGCAAGATAAGTAAAGTAAATCTGACGCATTTGGAGTTTCGCGTAGCCCTAGCTCGAGGGCTTATTGGTGTATACTCCAGTCGAAAAAGACGATCCACCATTCCCACCTACGTGATCAGAAAAAAGTTGATACAGGCCGACACTCGCCAGAAAGCCATTCATGTGGTTGCTGATGAAGTACGATTCTCGAATGTTGGAGATCATTTACCTTGTCCGTCGGAGACATATAAACGATGCAGACTTTGCAGTACGAAAACAAACGATAAACGCACTAAAATAATGTGCGAAAGATGTGCAGTACCTCTCTGCGTTGTCCCTTGCTTTACTGCATTTCACAGGCAGTAGGTAATTATTATTAATCAATATAATAATCAAGGATAAGCTATGTGTGTAATATATATATAATATATATATATATGCGAATAAATATGTTTTTTTTGTAAGTACTTTAGTTATTACTATGGAGGTAGTTGCACAGGCAAAGGGAATATAATTCCCACCATAGAAATAATAATAATAAAATATATGTATATTTTGGTTTCTTATCTCATAATGTAACTAAATCCAGGATTAGTTTTAAATTATCGCTTTTAAATCATTATACCCTATAAAGGGTTAACAATTAAAAACAAAAAATGAATATAATAGTGGTATATAAAGTAATTAATTTAAATTAAAAGTTTATTTAAACTTAGTGACATTTAATCTTTTTCATTACCAACCTTGATCTGCGCTCAAAGAGTGAAGTTTCAAATTGTTTATAAATAAGTTTTAATTTAAAAATTGATTATTTTTAATAATTTACTACTTACATCATATTTCCATAAAAAATTGTTAACCCAACAATCCCCATGTCCGATAACAGCCCTCTCATTAGTATCCTCTAAGAGTTTAATAATAACATCCAAATAATTATCAAAAAATTTCTTATATGCAATCAAAACGTTTCCGTCTGTTTTAGGATCTAAAACGCTAAAAGCGAATTGCAATCCCATCGCTTGTATTTGGCGAACACCCTCATTGCTGATAGCAATCTTTACAATATCCACAGTGTTTTCAGCCAGTTTTTTAAAAACATCCGGTTTTTGATCTTTCAAAGCAAAAGAAACAGCATGTAATTTAGCGTAAGTTTTCATCGCCAATTTAACATGATTCAAATCTAAAGGATCTTGGCGACATTTCATCACGTATCCTTTTAGCTTTATGTTTTCCATTACAATACTTTCATGAAAGTTTTCCAAATATGATAAAACGAATTTTGGGTGTTCACAAAACGGGTTTGCTACTCCCTTTTCAATTTGAAATCGATGCAAAGTTGGTAAAACATCAGTGTATATGTAAGATTCCCTTAAATATGAACTACTTATGTTTAGTCCTGCTTGATGCATTTCTAAATTTGGAGCTGTTTTTATGATCCAATTGAATTGTTTTGGTTAGTTTTTATCATCGTTAGTGGTTATTGTGAGTTTTCCAATGAACCCCATGAAATTGTCCCCAATATTACTTCCAGGTTCTATATTTATTTTTATGTTTTTTTGGCCATTCTCTTCTAAGAAAGTTGTAATGTGACTTTTTACTTTCTCCGAAAGAGTTAACATGGTTGGATCAATCATTTTTCTACAAAAATTTATTATTTATTGTTAATTAAAAAAAAAAATGATAAATCGATAATAACACCACCTGTTATGAGTGGGTTTAAAAGTTTTAAATTGAAAACTTATTTGATTTTGAATTTAAATTGAATTAAACTTACCACAAAGTGTTAAAAGTCAATTTGTTGCAAATAAGTTTGTATCCGGATGCGGGTTCAAAGCGATTCACACCCAAACAGTGTAAAAGAAGACCTTGAGTGAGTTAAAAATAGAACAAATTAAGCAAATATTAGGATTTTATCACATATTTAGTGCAGCCATCTATTCACTACTCTTTAAAGTTGAATTTGACACAAAATAGATTTCTATAAAACGGATAAAAAAAAAATTTTATTTTTTGATTATGTATTAAAAAATTGAATTCATCTGCATGTATATAAGAAAATAGGATATTGCGTAATTAAACCCCTAAAATCATTAATCGATTAATATACGAGAAATTTGTAAAAACTACTTACTTACATAGATTATGATCTTTCGAGACCAAGGCACGTTTACCATAAATGTTACAAGAATGGGTCGAGTTTCCACATCCAAAACAAAAGTTTGAATCTAGAATAATAAAAAAAGGTTATAGATAACTAATTTTCCAAGTAAATTAATAATAATAACTTTATTTAATTCAAAAGTTGATAGTTTTGTTAAATTTAATCTTTGTAGGAGTTGTAGAAAGTTTAATTCCTAAAAATAATTAGAAATTATGAAGAGTTATTATGCTATATTAACCTTTTAATACACGCGTGCGGACTATCAGCTATCTATACAACAATCTAACGATTAACAACTAAAACTAGAACTAACACTAGCACTAGACTTTGATTGCACTTTAAACTGTTTGAACGAATAATTTTAATGCACACAAATTAGAACAGCTTTACCTTCAGTCTAAGTGGCTTTATATTTATACCAAGGATCATAGAATCAATTTAAAAAGACTGTTACATCTCGGAAACAGATCTGTAGTTCGAAGGCCCGTTCGTGACGTCACGCATGGAGACAACTACTACAGGTGTCTCAAAAAAATGTACACACACTTTAACTGTCGCTAACATGCTGGCTTTTTTGTATTGCAAGTATATTTAATTAATCACAGCATGGCAGGAAATGAAATTAGTTTGGAAGAGATGAAATTTGTCCTGAAATGTTATTGGAAGACCGAAAACGCCATGGAAGTGACAGATGGAGTGACAGAAACAAATTTGAGGCAGATGGAACCGTCAATAAGAAACGTTCTGGACTACCACGGACATCCACGAGCCCTGGAAATGAAAAGCAGGTCCAGGAAGGACTCGTTCGATAAGTACAGAAAAATATCTTAAAAGATAGCGTCTCTTAAGACGGGTAAACCCGAATGTTTCTAGTTCTACGTCTAGTGTTAGTTCTACTTTTAGTTCAATGAACATACAAGGTGTTCCGGTCACTCGGGGCATAAAATTAACCTCATATACTAGAGCAAAAATGATGACGATTCGTGAAAAAAAATTATTATAAATGTCTTCAAATGGCCAAGATATGGGCCAAATAAATTTTAACACATTTTTCTAAATATTTTCAATACCGTTTATGGTAGAGCGTTGAAATTTGATACAGGGTAAACAAATATCAAGCAAAATCATTGAACCAATTTTGACTTTGATCGGGCGGCGGCAACCATGCTATACAGGGTCCCTAAAATTTGTTTGCTCACAATTTTTTTGTCCGCTCGTAACCCTACATTTTTGTTATTTTTTAATAGAAAATTTATTTTAGAAACTTTTATCACCCTTTAAAAATGGCAATTAAAAAAAAACAAATTGAGCTATCAACTTGCTTATGTCGTTTAAACACAAACGATAGTTTTTTGTTAGTTAAGTTTTTATTAATTTTAAGTGTTCAAAATGGAAGAAGATAGAAATGGAGAAGAAGATATTCTAGACTACGTAGAAGAAAATACTACAGCTAGTACTTTGGATATAGCGAGGCATTTTTTAACTTCAAAAACAACTGTTTGGCGTGTTCTTCACGAGCAACAGCTTTATCCATTTCATTGTTAAAGTTCAGGAAGTTCGACTGGCTGATTACCCATTGCGACTGCAATATAGGCAAATAATGCAGCACAAAATCCAAATTGACGATCAGTTTTTAGAAAAAGTGCTTTTTACAGATGAATCCACTTTTTTTAAAGATGGAATCATCAATTTGAGAAATTTACATAGTTGGGTGGACGAAAATCCAAGATTTAAGAAAACTTGGAAATAACAATGGAGATTTTCTCTTAACGTTTGGGCTGGCATTGTGGGCGATGTAATTATTTGACCCGTTTTCTTGCCATCAAGGCTGGATGGACATACATACAGGCGACAATTAGAGGAATTAGATGATTTTTTAGATGACGTTCCTTTAAACACAAGGCAAGCAATGTGGTATATGCATGATGGTGCTCCTGCGCATAGTACACAGGCTGTCCAAGAATTTCTGAGGTAACGTTTGCACTGATAAGTTGGCCACCCCGATTGAATTTATTGTTTTGGAAATTACATTCTTTTATTCAACTAAAATAAATTAACACTGGATTTAACTAAATCTGCACTTAGAAATTTATGCAAATAATGGTTATTAGCTCAGTTCGTTTTTTAATTGTCATCGCCAACTCAGATCTTGCGTAATATGTTTACTTTTTTTGTTTGTTACGATTGAAATCAAAGCTTAACATTTTCGCGTATAACTCGAAAACAGTCAATGTTATCAAAATTTTCAAAGAGTGATAAAAGTTTCTAAAATAAATTTTCTATTAAAAAGTACAAATATAAATGTAGGGTTACGACCGAACAAAAAAGTTCTGAGCAAACAAATTTTGGGGACACCTGTATAGCATGGTTGCCGCCGCCCGATCAAAGTCAAAATTGGTTCAATAATTTTGCTTCATGTTTGTTTACCCTGTACCAAATTTTAACGCTCTACCATAAATGGTATTGAAAATATTTAGAAAAATGTGTTAAAATTTATTTGGCCCATATCTTGGCCATTTGAAGACTTTTTATAATAATTTTTATTCACGAATCATCATTTTTGCTCTAGTATATGAGGTTAGTTTTATGCCCCGAGTCACCGGAACACCCTGTATACACAATCTAGCGCTGAATAACAAGTAAAACTAGAACTAACACTAGACCTAGAACTAGAAAGTTTCTAGTTCTAGGTCTAGTGTTAGTTCTAGTTTTAATTCAATAATATACATCAATCTAACGCTGAATAACAACTAAAACTTGTTGAAACAACTAAAACACTAGAACTAACACTAGACCTAGAACTAAAAACATTTGGGTTTAGTTGTGCGTCTCTTAAGACGTCAAAACCTAACTGTTTCTAGTTTTAGGTCTAGTGTTAGCTCTAGTGCTAGTGTTAGTTCTTGTTAGTTGTTAAATAACACAATCTTTTGGCAGGTGATCATTTCTACTGGCAATGTGAGTCCCCACATTTCGCCTTGTGTGACTATGTAAGCTTATATACAGAGTGTCTCAGCGAGACCGGTCATTAGACGTTTCTGGGGTTCTGGCCAAAATAAAAATTTGAGAATTCAGACTTAAGTATTGTCAATTACGTTCTCTTCATCTAAAATATTTTCAGATTTCTAGCACTTCCGGTTATACCGGAAGTCGCCACCTACTTTATTTTTTAAATGGAACACCCTGTATATTTTTACATATTTGGATTTGTCTATTTTCAAGGTTTATAAATAACTTTACTTATTTTTCTAGAAAAATTTGCTGACAAAAGGTAAATTTAGAAGAATAGAAGCAAATTTTTTGCATTTTGGACGAATTAATCACGTGTTAAACTGACCAAAAAATGTAGTAGATAATGCAACAGAAGAGGTGAATACCTTGTCTTATTTCGAGCCCAGTCTCAACACCTCATTTCGAGCTGCCAAAGAAGATCTGGGAATCATATTACGAACTTGTCGCGCTTTTCATGCAAAAACAATAAATTAAGAATTTTTTGTTTTGTGTAAATATTACTTTCATTATTATTATCGATTTTAACTCGTTTCAGTACTAATGTTAAGGGACATAACAGATAATTATTCACATGCATCAAGTGACGTAAACAAGTGAGTCTTTGACAAGAACTCATTGAGAAGGCTTGTTTTTCATGGCACACTAGGCTACACATCCATATGATATGTGTGCATTTTTCAAAAAACCCTAATTATCTCCCAAACTATTAATATTAGGTATGGGACATATAGGATATAAAAGATGTAGAATGAGACACCGAAGACGACTAAGTAATAAAATATAGGGGGTTAAATAGATTTTGAGAT